TAAACGTAAAGTTAGGCCCGTTCCATGCCGAAATCGGAGAGACGAAACGACACCGATTGGTGAAAGCCTTAAGGAAGCCAATTGGCCGGTGCATCTTCTCTTCTCTCGATGAAAGCAAAGGTAAGCATATGGACATGGAATATCCATACGGTGTTTGAAACCGGCTGGTAAGGCTGCCCAAATTGCAAAAGGGATGGGAAGGTATGGCACAGAAGTGATAGGAATCTGCAGATGGAATGGAAGTGGACTCTCCAGACTGTAATTTGGAGAGTCAATAATTTACTCCGATATTGTCACCAAGACGACAACCACGAGCACTGGGGTTTGGATTGGCCATAATCGTGTACCAAAGGGCATCGGAAGCTCTCGTGCAGTAGGAACCAGTCTCCTCCGGGATCGTGACGACAAGATTCAGCTCAAAAGGAAGGAGAGCTACAGTCATACATTGCTATACTACGCACCTAAAAATAATGCATGTGAAGAGAAGGAGGAGGAATTCTATAGCCAGCTGCAATCAGACCTGGACCAGACCCGAATTGGTGACATCAAAATTCTAATGGGTGGGTGGGGTGACATGAATGCCAAACTGGGAGCGGACAGCACAGGAAGAGAACTGATCATGGGTCCAGGAGCACTCGGCAAAATGAACGGGAATGAATAATTGTTTGCAGACTTCTGCGCATTTGATAACCTGTGTACAAACACAAGGACATTCATGAGGTGAAATGGATCTGATTTCACCAGATGGACACACTACACTAAAAATCGGATCGATCCCATTTCAATCTCAAGAAAGTGGAAACAAAGCCTACTGTACACAAGATGAGAAAGTGGAGGGGATGTGAGTTCAGACCACTATCCAGTGCAAGGACCTACCCTAGAAATCAAGTTAGAAGCATTCAAAGAAGCTGGTTTTAGACTGCAGTCTAAGTTCAACACCAAGAACAGGAACTGAAGGACGAAACTACAAGTAAACTCTTCACATATGCTAGCCACCAGGAAAAAATGGGAGACATCAGGCGATATCCGTGAAGGAACCTGCGTGGAAGAACACTGAAACTCTGTGGAAGCGACGTAGAAAGAAACCTGCATAACCGTGTCAGGAATCAATATGTGACCGGACAAGAAATGGATCTCCGTGGATACATGAGAGTTGATAGAATGGAGAGAGGGAGTTAGTGAGGTAGAAGATGAACCAGTGCAAGAATGGACAGTGTAAAAGGGAATTTAAGGCAACCTACAAAACACCAGACGAGGAAGTGAGGGAGAGTGCGCGCAAAGACAAAAGACTCTTCCACAGCACGTTGGCAAGTGAAGCAGAACGGGCTGCAGATGAGAGAGACAGAGACTTGACGACACTATATCAAACAACCGGGTAACTAACTGTGAAGGGATCAACGCAGACGAAACCAATGAAAAATGGTGAGGGAAACCTAGTTACTAAAGGGGAGAAACAAAGGAAACGATAGGCTGACCAATTCAAAAAACTCCTGAATCGACCACCACCCACAACTCCTCCAGAAATACCACGTGCAGCTCACCCACAGAATTATCAGTGAAAACAATCCCTCTGATAATAGCAGAAGTGAATTCTTGAACGCCAGCAAGCTGCTGAAGTCCGGGAAGGCAGCGGGACCACATGGAGTCTCCCCAGAAGCGCCGAAAACATGCAGGGGTACCGGCTTTCATGCCTTCATGCAGAAGGTTTGGAGGGAGGAGAGGAAGGTTACCTGCAGGTTGACAGAATGGCTATCTTGTCAAACTCACAAAGAAGGCAGGCAGAAATCTTTGCTCGAACAAGGACTGGTACGGAATTATTCTCCCCCCTGTAAATCCCGTGCAAAATTTGAAACCGCATCATCCTGCATAGACTCAAAGATCCGCTGGGTTCAGAATTAAGACCGGAACGGGCTGGCTTCAGGGAGAACAAATTATGTGCGGACCAAATTGCAGCACTTAGCTACGCATCGTCATAGAACAGAGCATAGAACGCCAGCCAACCGGATCTTCACCTCAACTTCACGGCTTTTGAAAAGGCCTTCAACAGTGTCGGCTGAAAAGTAATACGGCAGGCAGCTGCCCCCACACTAATGTTTTAGTGCCACAAAACTTTATCAATCTCATCCAACAGCTATGTGGTGACGCCACATACCAAGTGATTCACAACTGAAAATTAAGTGACGCCTTCGAAGTGAGGACAGGAGTAAGACAAGGCTTCCTACTATCACCCATGATCTTCCTGATTGTGGTGGACTGGACCAGACTGGATCATGCAACAAACTGTGAGGAGCGCAAGGACGGCGCACTGTGGGTCGATGGAAAGACCTTAGAAGATTTGGATTTCATGGATGACGATTTATTACTAATGTCGCATAAACTGGAAGATATACGGGCGAAAGTCAACAAGTTGAGAGGAGAAGCAGCGAAGATGGTACTTCAAGTGAACGTAGAGAAGATAGAGGTGATGAAGATAGCCAACCAACAACAGCATCAACGACAGAAAGCCCCAATTACCATCAACGGGAGAAACCTAAACGTGGTGGTCACTCTCGGCTACCTAGATAGCGTCTTTCCGACTGCAGGCGGCACAGATGAGGATGTCAAAGTCAGGCGGGGTCGTAAAGCGATACTGGGCTTTCTGCATTGATCTGAAATTATTGTGGAGGTCTACTGCACTCGTCATTAAGGACAAGATCCTTTTTTTCAACTCTAATGTCAAGTCAGTGCTTCTTTGTGCTAGTTCAGAAACTTGGCATGTCATGAAAAGCACTTCCAACAGACTACAGCTGTTCATCAACATCTGCCTAAGCTCGATACTGAAGATCAGATGGCCAGAAAGAATAAGCAACGGGGAGCTCTGGGGACGAACCAACCAGGAAGCTGTCGCTCAACAGATATGGAGAACAAAGTGAACATGAATTGGATTGGGCATACACTAAGTAGACCATTTGGGGACATCACGCACCAGGCCAGGCCGCCGAGTGGAATCCAAATGGGGAACGACGAGTTGGGAGTCCGAGGGTGACATGGAGGAGATGGTGTGAGGAAAAAATGAAAGCTTGTGGGCAGTCGTGTAGCCAGGTTCTAAAGACTGTAGAGAACAGAGTGATTTGGAACGTGCTACTGAAGCTTTGTGTTTCACTAGGAGCCCAAGAAACAAATATTAATATAATAAATGATCTTCCCGGCAGACTTGCCTTCATCTTCTATGGCACTTTTCCCTTAAGTTGCATCTAGGCATCTTCTTTCAGGTTGCTTTAGTCATTACGTCCCATGAGCTCTTATGATCACCTTAACTTACTTGTTCTGTAGTGTTCTACTTCTAGATCTCAGACGATGTTCATAACTGCTGAATTAAAATAAGAGTTGTGACAAGCTTTTGTGAGCAACATTACTGCATTTACTTACATTAAAGTGTTACATAAGTGTGCAGCTGCCACAGTCTAATGAAAATGAAATGATTTTTATCCTCATCAGCTCCACTCGGGCCGTCATCGTCTTCGTCACCTGACCTTCAATTCCAAAAAATTGCTTGTTATCGTTGCCCACCCAGACTTAGCTCTGCCCATGCTAACTGGCAAAACAGCCCAGATATACTTTCACTGGAGACATACCTCGCAACCTCCTCTGACATGTCACAGTGTGATAGACATGACGAACTGGGTTGTCTACACCTAGTAATTGTTTGTTTAATGAGGACTTTTAACAAGCTTAGAGAGTAGCTGCAAAGATAGAGTGAATTCACCTGGCTAATGCATCCCGAAAATTCTGTGTACAGGGAGAAGCCACGTACATAAGGGTGACCACCACAAAAGGATAAAGCGTGGAGACAATATGTCGGCAGATTTGACTGATGACTAATTTAGTCTACTCTTATTTGTGGGACAGCACTGGTACACTGTTAAAGTTCATAAATAACACTGAAGTAGGACCTGAATGCTTTATTATCAAAATCGCTTTTTAACTTTAGTAACATCCTCCTAGCGGACTCATCCCTATACTACCCTCAGTGTCTACGTGGTGGGAGCAACCGTATGTGTAACCTATCTATGAATTCTGGATATATACCTAGTTGCTATTCATTGTATTTATTGTCTACGATGTTCTTCCGAGAAGCTGCCAGACAATTTTGATAAGATTTATATTAAATTGGAACAGATCTCGCGTTTTTCAACAGCCTTAATTATGACAGTAATCTCGTGTGACTGCACAAGTTTACCGCCTCAGGTCAGTACTATTAACTGGAAGGACTGTGTCCTGAATTTCGGGATAACTAGCACACATGCAAACACTGGAAGATACAACTCAAACTCCTGGATAGCGCTTGGATAATACTTGACATATGAAAGCAATCCTACATAATTCCCACACATTCCTGCTTGGCCCAAGTTAATTAACACAATATTTCTATCCCCTATATCCTGTCCGTTTTGGAGACCATAATTGTACAGCAAGAATCAAGCCACCAACCTAAAGCAACATCATCAAAGATTTCAGAAAAACCTCATTTTGTATATAGGCCACTGGATACAACACGCAGATTTCTGTTGTGCTCTGAAGTAATTTTTCTGACCTCATTTAGATGTCCACAATATCTTTTTTACAACCAATGCCTGAGGAAGATACAAATCCGCTGAAGAGAATCTAGATGCTGGCTGCAAATGGTCCCGCAGAGTCACAACACCGGCTGCATGAGGATTGAGATAATGGCTTGACATTCATCGCCTTAGTAACCCCAAATAAAGTAGCCTGCTTGACGCATTATTATACGCGACCATTTTGGATTGAGAACCAGGTAAGAAAGTCTTTTCTTCTAACCTTAATACTGATTATGTTGTCATTGAACATAAGACATTACTTGTCTCAAAATACACTAGTCAAAGTGAATTCAGAACTGACTAAGCAATTTAATGTCATTATATATTTGGTGCTCTTGGAGATTCTATAAATTAGATGAGACAATCGTTAAAACAAATCACTGTGTTTGACGTTAGTGACCGTTGGCAGAACGCTTTGCCACCATAGTGAGCGCCATAGTCACCGTAGCTGTTGGCGACTGTTTCCTGTCAACTAAGGTGGGCTTTTCATTTTATGATTTAAATAGGAGTTTGGCGTTTCGTTAGTGTAGTATTGGTTATAAAAGTTCGCGAAAAATGTAAAGACCCAAACAAAGGATTATTTATTTTTTGACCGCATTTAATCATACGAGCATTGCAATTACGCTTATTGTTTACCGTTTCTACATAGCCGTGTTTGGAGAAGAAATAATAACTAGTTTGTTCCTGATAACTGCAGAAGCACGTTATTGTTTATGAGAATCTTCAAACCACCAGATCATTTGCACGAAGTAGTAGTTTGTGCACAGTGTTACTAACGGCATCTTGTATAGTTTTCGTTTCTTGTGAATCTCTTGTTGTTTACCGACTATCCAGAAGTGTATTTGCAGTGCAAAATTAACAGCAATTACTATGTTGACAATAAATATAGGTGTACTTGATGATATAGTGTAGTAGGTTCTTAGCGTTTTGTCCATTACCACATGACAGTCACTGTAGTGTACTCACAATATTGTATATCTGCTTATGTAGGTCGTTAAAAATAGTTTTTATGTCTAAAGGTTGGATAATTCGCTGTAAAATAGCTCTTTGAAATGAAGGTTTAGAGACTTGTTTGCTTTTAAGAGGTAAGATCATGCCTAGTACACAACCCATTTCATTTGAGTTCTGTTACCTTCCATTAAGAGTGGACTGAAATGATTGTCTAGATAAGTTGTTGGAGGTTCGCTACAGGGTAGCCAACACCTATTAAAGACGGTTTACTTCAAAAGTGATCTAAAACTTGTAGTTGACCGTAAATCCCCTACAACATCGTTGAGGATAAAGACCATCAAATCATATGACACAAATAAGACCACCTCTTTAATGGTGATCGTGTAACTTCATCCCTCTGTGAAAACTAACATTATCCTCCCTCATATCTGCAAATGAGAAGTATTTAGTTGCCGTATAGAAATTGCATTTGTAAATATGGTTGAAGGTGGAAAAATTTGTAAGTCTCAGTAGTCAGTCTTCCTCAACTAACCGGTTCAGACTTATCAGATAAATATACGGACTACATTAAAACTTTAGAGGACCAATACAATTTACTACGCTTCACATTAGGACAGAAAGGGGGAAGAAGCAGGATGAAATGACAATAAAGTAAAAAAAAACAGACCTTATGAAGGAGTAATTAGATTAGGTTTATTATAATTGCGTGATATTTTGTTAGTGATGGTGTGTATACACCACTGTTATGGAGAGTCGTATCACACAGGCTCTTTGACTATAGATTGCTAAGATCTCAGGGACTAGCCACACTGCTGATATCTGTGCGATTCACACCGAAAGTTGGAATCCACTAGTTAGCATCACTATTGGTCACTGCTAAAGCCTAGTCTGTCTTTACCTTAGGTCATTCATCTCGGCTCTCCACCCTAGCTTCTTGCTCCTGTGCGACCGGTTAGTATTATAAGCCGTTATACGAGTGTGGCTCAGCTTTTAAATTAATCTGTTCCAGGTTAATTTGCCTTGGTTTTCAATTCCTCAAGAAATCGCCGGGATTGTTTAGAAAATCGCATATCTGTTGTTTTCGTCCATATATATTCTCGTAAGATAACTTAAAAATCACATTTCTAAACTTTCAACTAAATTTAAAAGCTGAACCTGTACATATAACAGTGCTATACATGACGTGAAGGAAAGACTGATACAGTGACGTGAAGGTATTAGTAGTCGGGTAATTTGTCAGCGTTCAGTAAAGGTCTTTCGTGAAAAATAAAAGGGATGAAGCGTTGGCACGCTGATTTTCTAGATGAAGTAAGAGGTTGAATGCATTAGACTACCTACTAAAGAATGAGTTTACTTTGGCTCTATTTGTTCTGTCCTATTATGCAGTTGTGACTTAGTTTTTGAAAAAGGGATGACACGAAGAGGTTACAAGATTTAGACCATAATTGTCTTCGTAGTAATGCTCATGTACGGGGGAAATCACCGGTTGGCCCAAGAATAGTAGGCAAGAAAGACTTGTCAGTCGAGGAAGATGAGTCTGCACCGACTCAGGTGATTTAGATGTCTCGCATGCTAAATCAGCGTACAATGTTAACCAAAGTTGATCTTGAGGTGAACAAAGGTCTAGAGCGGCCAGACTGTGATGTGGCACCAGTTTATGAATTCTGTAACTGTCGGATAAAGCCGTCTAAGGAAGTATGAGGTCCTCGAGACTATAGAAATCAATGGTTAGAGAGGGTTTTGGTGAAATAACTGAAAATCAGTCGCAACGGCACAGATGTGTTCACTCTGAAGTATTTTAAAGCTTAAACATTCCTTTACCTCTCATGCACTTTTTTCTACTTTAATGTCGCTCTTTTCCTGCCTACTTGTTCTTTGGATGATGGGATGTATGGCAACTTGAACCAATGTACATCTGTGTGAAGTCCTACTGTGATTTTGTCTGTTTGCCTTGACTGTATGTGCCACCGTGATCACTTTTGAGACTGTGAAGCTGTCATACATCCATTTCTGTTTCTTGGTAGATTCTAATCGGCAATTTTGCAGAAAGAGACCTTATTTAGTGATAATACATCGTACTCTAGGTATTCCGTTTTTCTGAATCTAAATTTACTTCAGATGACGGTTTACAACCCATTTCAGCTCCTTTGGTCGATAACAGTTTACAGTCCCATCGGCTAGCTTATCTGCTTCATCCAATACTTTGTGCTTAACCGTTGCACTGCGCCTTTGCTGAGGGTTCTACCTCATACAAGCAGTGTTATGAAGGCAACAGTGGTTAAATGGTTGGAGCCTTCTCATATCCTCTACCCTTAATTGACTGTGCTTAACAGCCATAGAGCAAGATAGTGAGCTGCTACTGTCTACCGCACTCGATCCTTGATATTTAGTGATATTATTTTATTTCAATCAAAGATGATGCACCAACAAGTGTGCCATGCTAAATAATGCAAAACTATGAGACAAAGTTGATATGAAGGGAAGTAAATAAGGTGGAGAGCAGAAGCAAAAATAGAAGTGGGTTGTTAAAGCAGCATTTTAAGGATATGTTCAAAAAGGCTTTCATTGCCGTCGTCTATCTTCTTTATAGAAGAAACATGTTAGCTGCAATATGATTGCCTTTATTTTTGGTTGTAAGCCATATCTCATATAATCTTAGACCACTGAGCCTTATCACCTCCTCGACCCCATCCATTGAGTCGCCAGGCAGCAACAGATGCTAAGCTAACGTAACTAAGACCATTGACTGACACTTAGATGTCATGTGCGCCATTTGTTTTTCAAGTTTGTGAAGATCAATCGAACCTTTTAACTCGGAGCCGAAGTTTCATTGGCAACCATTCCACTAAGGATAAGACAGACTCTCAGATCTGTGAAGTGGTTGGTGTGTTTAACCACAGTTTCCAGGTGAATTATCAACACAAATCAGTTCAGATTAAACGAATAACATTTCAGTGCTGAAAAGTTTCCACAAATTGTGCAATTATTGAGAGAACTAGTGTAAAACTCAGGACCTGTGGTATAGTTTAACTTCTCTGTTTTAAATAGTGATGTAGTATCCTTTGTCCTTATATGGTCATGAGCAATGAATCGTACTCAAAGCATTCACCAGATAATGGTGGATTGCTGAGCTTTATTCAATAAACTGAAATACTATGGAGTTATCACTAATTGTTGGAAAGACTACTTTTTACCATCTTCGGTATTCATGTTTATCTTCTGTGTGCTGTTGGTCGATTAAAGTGTCTTGTAAAATGTATTCATTCAAAATCAACATAATAGTGTTGAATACTTTACAGGTGTGAACATCTGCATACTGTTTCATTATGGTGCTGTGGCTCATTGGCCAAGACAACTTTCAAAAATGGGTCACGAGTTTGGATCCCACTACATCTTTCGAGGCTTAGGGAGCCAATTAGTGTTCTCTTCTGTCGTGCAATAGGTGTGTCTCGTTCTATAGTGTACGGAAATGCACGTAGTTGTCTCTCATTCAACTGTTCCTGTTATTGCTGCTTTTCCATATGTTCAGCGTTTGCTGCATATCGAGTAGTCAGTCAGTCAACATTTGATTTGCCTTCTCTGTGAGTGCACAATGGCACAGATGTATTCATTCTTTGACATCTAAAGCTTAAATATTTGTACTAATCCTTATTTTCAGATTGATTATTCTCTCATACAATATCGTCTACTCTTTTTCTATTCACCTGATTTTTGTATGCTTCTGTGAAGTATGGCAAGTTAAAGCGATGTATTCGTAGGTTAGGTTTTACATTGATTTCGTCTGCCTGTCTGAACACACACTTGGTCGTATATTCTAGCCAAGCATCGGAGGGTTGTACTTCTTTCTGTTTGTTTCCTACTTCGAAAATGGTACAAACACACATACCCGGACTAATAGATTATCATAGTCTAGACACTTACTCTAAGAAAAGCAACATTTTTCCAGTGATCTTTAGCGATGGTTAGTAGTGATATGATCTATTTGTTTTCTTCGTCGCCCTGATGTTGGCGGACGCCAAGTAAGATGATGTCTGCCCACGATTTTAGTTAGTACTAGCAAAAAAATAAGTAATTATCAAACTGGAATTGTAGAAGACTATTTCCTTTATCGGTTTGTTGGTGTAAAATACCATAGGTATATCGCAATTTGGAATCTTAATTACCTCACTTGTGATATCACCGTCTACTATGACTATCTAAACGTTTACGTAACAAGATTGACAGCCTTTGATAAAGCATCCTTTACAACGTCCAAACTGCAGTCGTTGGATATATGGGCGGAAACTGTACATAGAAACTGATGGGTATCATAGCCTTGTTGATTTTAGAAGGTCCATCTGCCCATCAAGTGCAGAGACAGCTGTTGAATGATGTGTAGTCAAGGAGTGTGCCTTCTGGTCTAGAAGTTAATATTATATTAGACCAGCGAGTCAAAGATACCAAGTTGTTGAGTCTATGAACACTCACAAGGTGGATTTATTAGGTTCCGTACACCGATCAAAGTGAGTCATGCAAATAGTCAGACTTTCTGTATGCATAGTCTGATGGTATAGCTTGTGTGTCTCCGTCGTTAATTGGAGCGAATTGAACGGGCACTATTAGCAAATTGGATCCTTTGCGGATCCCTTTATATTGCCAATTTTTTCACATTTAATATTATTGATAGATACTAGCTAAGAGTGGAATCCAAAATGCGATTTTATCCTTATTTAGGACTTTAATCTATCCATCCGTCCAAATCAACATCGGACCAAACATTACTGCGTAGCAGTCCGAGTTGCCACAGCTCATATCACTACATCAAGTGAAAAGGTAGTGGAGTGCAAGATGAAGATAAGAAAACTGAGTCAAAGGAAATATAAAGTACTAAAAGAGAGAGAGAGAGAGGAAGAATGAGAAAATGGTGAGATTCGGTATAACGTCATTAAGATGAAGATAATATGTGTATATGTCTACGCCATTGACATCGGTTCTGAGCCATAAGCAATAGCCAACGCAACTTAGTGTCCTAGTGAATAATGCTCTAGCATTTGAGGCTATTCGTCCTGGTTTCAAGCCATTAGGAACAGCATCACACCCTTGGAGGCAGGTACATTCAGCTGACAAATTCTAAATAGAACAAAATGTGCGTCCTATATTCCACTGCTAGTCAGTATGAATCGTTGTTATCAGATTTTTGCAAGAGTAAAATTATTTTAAACTTTATTGTGAATGTGAAAGCGTAATTTTAAGTGACCAGGAATGATATTTACAGATTTTGATCATTAGCAATGGTCACAGGATGAGAATTATAGGAAACTATGAGGGAATAACTTTGATAGAAGGATCTTAGTGAAAGAAAATGAAGAGACAGGTGACAAATGCAGTCATACGATGATTGGTAGTTCCAGGTTGCATTAATCATAGTAATTTATTTCTGTGTGAGATACGAGAAAAGAAAGTTAGTTCTGCATGACCACTGAGCACAAGAGAAATCTGCTTAAAGCCGATCGCATGACTTTTTTTTTAAGGAGTTTTGAATATTTTACTCCGTGTGCAATGTTCTGCATTGATTTCGTCTACCTGTCCCTTACTAGAAGAAAAATCCATAACGCTGATATCTGAAGACCTGTGGGCAAAGAAGGAGTGTACGATCATTAACTCCAACATTTTATAACCTCTCTTTCCAAATAGACAAGATGGCATTAACTTGAAGTGTTGGTCATCCACGGAGAGCACCACACTGCTGTCATACTGAGTAGTAAACAGTACGACTTCACTCTTGAAGCCTCAGCATAATCTGAGCTATTTACACTACCATTGCTCAACAAACCTTTCTCAAATCCTAGCATATCAAACGACATTTATTGTATGTTGTCCAGCTTGTTAATTCATTACTTCAGGTAACCGGATCAGCTGTAAACTAGCAACTCGAATCGATGCACTTCTGTGAAAAGTTTTATACTAATTGGTGTCCTGCCTTCTGAACTCCACGCCGAAGTTACTTGATATAGTGAAGATATCTATACTTCTGACTCACTGTAGAAAGTTCAACAGATTTACGTAGGATTCACCGTTTTGTTCATCCTAGTAGCGATTAGTGGGTGCATAGAAAGAAAATGCTAAAGAATATGAGTTTATATTACGATTCCTTTTAGATTTATGTGCCATTCATCTGAACAACCTGCAGATAACTGTTAAGTAGAATCCATTCAGCAAGTGCAATTTCATCCTTGAATTCAATGCTATGCTTATACCTGTTAGACTATGAGAATCGGCTAACAAATACTCTTAGCATGATTTGTATAAACTCACTTCTTTGGTCTAGTAAGGTCATGTGAATGATTATAGTTGGATTCTTTACACAGTTCTAAAGAAAATAGGCTAAATGTGTGACCAATAACGGTATAGTTTTGTCTGATGCAGCTTATTTTTCACTCTGCATTAGGTTTGAACTTCGAGTGTTTAAACATATAGTTTATAAATAGGCTTAAGGTGACAAGATATTCTATTTCGTAAACATGAGTCGTTATTATGATGCATATTCGTTAGGATGATCAGTAAACTTCCGAAACTTGTTCGATAATGAAGAATAAACTTGAATTGTGCTGAAGGTGTATAATTCAATGACATTACGGTTGGTCAAATTACATCAGTTCTTTTGAGGTACTTGAAGAAAGTGAACTAGTATAGCTTTTTGTATCATTTTCAAATCTTAACTGCCTAAGATCGATCATACATAAAGAGATACATAACATTCATTTTATTCAGTTGCCTTCTTTAAAAATCTTCAAAATTGACATTGTAGCTCCATCATCATCCATCTAGATCAACCTAGGACCAGACATTACTGCGTAACGGTTCGAGTTGCCACACCTCATATCACTACATCAAGTAAACAAGGTAGTGGAGTGCAAGATGAAAATAAGAAAACTCAGTCAAAAGAAATATAAAGTACTAAAAGAGTGAAAGAGAAAGAGAAAGAGAGGAAGAATGAGAAAATGGTGAGATTCGGTATAGCGTCGTTAAGATGAGGATAACGTGTGCCGGGATACATCTGCTCCACAAACATCGGTTCTCACCCATATCACCTAGAGTCAGTCTCCAACCACTCGTTCCTCTTGTCCCACCGACCCCAACTGACTAGTCTGCATTGCCCCACATGGCTGAAACCAACAGTCAAAGACTTCATACATTGATTCCATGTTTTAGTGTGGCTACCTCATGTGTTTTTGCAGTCCGGACCTACGTCGGCTAACATTGTGTGACGAGGCAATCAGCTCCATGATGCAATAAATGTGCTATTTTCAAGGATGATTCTTTCTAACCCATTCTTATAAAGGGAAACATGTCATCAGTAGACTTCCTGAATATCTTTATATAATATATTGCTTCTGTTTCATTTACGTAAAAGCAATGGTACAACTATTCTCTCGAAATTGATCCCTTCTTATAACCTTTCTGATACAGTTGGACATTAAGTAACAACAATTTCATTCAGTTATAGCTTAAGTGAGTGATTAAGATGAGCAAATGGAATCATTGCAATAGAATAGTTTCTGTCACCAAGAATTTATGAATGACAAAAAAATCCGTATATTGTCCTTAAGAAACTGTGGCTTACACATTGAAACATCTAGAAATATCTTGCTTTGATTTTCTAAACACGCTGGGATTATATTAAAATATACTCATATGATTTACTCTCTTCGTATAGTTTGATGACTGACTAAAATGGGTTTGTTTTTTTCTCTAGGTGTAAATATCTCTGTATTTTACTTTGTGGTTATTGGCCATGCAGTCTGCATCTGGGCCAGGTGCCACTATTGTTCATGTCTCTCCAAAAAGTCATACTATCTTACAACAAAACAACCAGCATATTCTGCTTAGTAAACTCGGTAAGTTATTTACTATAGTCATTAATATTTTTCTATAGCTTCAGACTCTACTAATAATCGTCCTGCAACTAGTGGAGTTGAAGCCAGCTTGCTACAGACTACACATTCAAACAACTCTCAATCTATCTATCCTGCACACTATATTGAAGCTATAGCTGAACAGACAGTTTATCCTGGAAACGGAGAAAGCGGGTATGTCATTGTTTTCTCAGTTTATTTGTTGAATATATATGAATTTTATAACTTTCAATTATAGTATATTGTTTTAATGGCTCCATCTAGTGGAATTGAATATTCTACTCACAGAAAACCGAGTAGAAGAAGTTTCTAATATGCAGTGTTATTATATGTACTTGGTAATATAAATATTACAGCGATATCTGGATAACTGTGTGATCCGGGAGCTCTAATTTGTCTATTTTGTTTGTGAAATAGTAACTTTTGACGGAAAGACTTCTTAGAGCCTTAAACGGTTCTTCATAGAATATTATAATGTTTACTGCCTAATAATTATCGTAATAGTAATCTCTGATGTATTGAAATGGGTGTCTTGTGATACAGGAAAAGGGTGGTGTAATCATGATTATCTAACTATTTTATCAATAACCCAAATTCCTTATGTCTCATATATAAATCATAACAAAAGTGAAAACTTTATTTACAGACAGACAGACAAAATTGGTTTAGAACCTCGCAAACAAGTACATCGGCTCAAGCTGCGCACTTCACAGTAATGGCATACAGAGAACAGGTGGATAGAAGAAGTGATATCGAAGTCAACAAAGTTGTGTGGTGGTGTGTGTGTGTGTGTGTGAGAGAGAGAGAGTATATCTGCATCATTGTGACCGATTTTCATCCATGTCACTTCCCAACCACTCATTCCTTTCGTCTCGTGGACTCCACCCACATAGTCTACATTTCCCCACACGGTCAAGACCAACTGTCAGGGACTTCAATGACTGGTATCAAGTCTTTGTCTTGCTGCCCTCAACTCTCTTCCAATCTAATCCAACTTCACCTAGCATGGCATGTTAAGGTAGGCGGTGAATCGGTATGTGTAGTCAATTAAGGTTCACAACCTCATCAATTGACCCCTCTTTCTTGCCTAATATTTTTCGCTTCACTTCAACATTGCCCACATGAGTAACGCAGAAGTCAAGTATAGAGTTTTAGGGAGTAGAGGTAAATCAGTTGACGAGGTTATAAACCTTCATCGATTGAGATGGTTGGCTCCGACACGTGTTACGTATGCCTAGTCGTCAATTCCCTCGTCACACAATGTTAGCCGAAGTAGGTCCAGACTGGAAAAACGCCTGAAGTAGCCACACTAAAACATGGCATCAGTGTATGAAGTCTTTGACTGTTGGTTTCAGCCATGTGGGGCGATGCAGACTAGCCAGTTGGGGTCGGTGGGACAAGAGGAACGAGTGGTTGGAGACTGACTCTAGGTGATGGTGAGAACCGATGTTTGTGAAGCAGATGTATCCCCGCACACATTATCCTCATCTTAACGACGCTATACCGAATCTCACCATTTTCTCATTCTTCCTCTCTCTCTTTCTCTTTCTCTCTTTCAGTACTTTATATTTCTTTTGACTGAGTTTTCTTATTTTCATCTTGCACTCCACCACCTTGTTTACTTGATGTAGTGATATGAGGTGTGGCAACTCGAACCGTTACGCAATAATGCTTGGTCCTGTGTTGATATTCATGATGATGATGATCAACATTGCCCACAGTGATTTCACTAAACGCAACCAATGCTACAAAGACATCTGTAATCGCTTCATATCTTCATCTTTCAACAGCCATATCTCACAGCGGTATAACATCTCTAAGCAACAATAAAATTGACACATCTCCGCTTTATATGACGTTGCCGTTTCATCCCCTGTAGTTTAAAAAGAAATATAAACTAAGTAAGATAGAAATACAACAACTGGAATAATTAGCATAAACAACTATTTATTGAATTAAAAAATGAAGAACAATGCATATCCGTAGACCACTTCATTTACTTGTGGAATTGCAGCAGTATGGATACAGAAGGCTTGGTTCGTATTTGTCAACTGGCGTCATTTTGGCGCCAACTGACTATCTATCAAAGTAAGAGTATTCAACGGTGCAGTCCGTTCTATCCCGTTATACAGCTGTGAGAAATGCCTGTTGAATAATAAAGGGCTTGAAGCAGTTACAGGGTTTTAGTCGTAGATGTCTTCGTAGCATTGCTTGTGCTTAGTGAAATAATCATGTGAGCAGTGTTGCGATGAGACAAAGAATACTAGGCAAGAGAGGGAAGGTGATTGGTGAAGTTGTGAACCTCAGTTGACTATGATGAAGTGGACATAAACTGTGCGTGCCGAGCCGCAACCTACCTTGACGGATCATGGATGACAGGGGAAGTTGAATTAAGTTGAAAGTGAGTTCAGAGTGGCCACAACGAGACGTGGCATTAGTTGATGAAGTTCCTGACTAATAGGTTTAAGTCATGTTAGGCAATGTAGACTTGCTGGTTGGGGTCTCCAAGACGAAAGGAATCATGGTTGAGGAGTCTTAGTGACATGGCTAAAATCGGTGACAATCGCGCAAAAGTATTCAGTCCCTAACATCTTCTGAAGCTTGGATTATTGGCACTAACCTTTTTCTTCAGATTGTTTATTCTACCACACAACTTTGTCGACTTCGATATCACTTTTTTCTATCCACCTGTTCTTTGTATACTACTACTGTGAAGTGTAGCAGCTTGATTCAATGGATTTGTGTGTATGAGATTCTACGTTAGTTGTTTTCTATCTGTCTGGATACTTATGCAACTTACCTGGTCACTGTTTTATACACATTTGTGTGATTAAGCGTGATGTTATAGAGAAACTGTTTCATTTTCCACACCTCCAATGATAACATCCAGATAGAAAGAAATAACCAAAGACTGAAGATTATCACAATGTGAAAGTAAGCGGGGTTAGAGGGAAAGATGAAATGTCGTATAATGCCTAAAATGTACATAAAGTTTGGATAAATCTGCTTGACTGTTATAAATTCTGTGCAACATCACCTAGAACCTCTAATCATTGATCTAGACCGTTATGCCAGTCAACTCTTACCTTAAAAGTTGACGTCTTACTACAAAACTTTAATCAACAGGTTAAAGACTACCGTGTTTTGTTCTGAACATCCTTAGCCGTCTTACAACTTAACCCTGGTTCAATTAGTGCTTTGAGATAGATATTAGCTAGGCATTTATAAGAAATGTCTAATCACTTCAGTCGGTCATATTGACTTGTATCTGTCACCCAGACCCTATATGCAACCTCGACATGACTTGGGCTCTGATTCCATAACATTCAATTAATGTTATTAAGACAGTCTATTTATGTAATCCGCCTTGAATGCCAATGTTTCACGGCTGTGTGGTATGAAAGAGTGATCTGCAGCGCAATACTAGACTTTTGATGGGCACTCAGATCTACCATGGGTGCAACAAGGGGCTTGAGTCAATCATGGTCTATCGGGCACTTTGTGTCTGAACCGAGATTCTATCAGATACTGACCACCCACCAGAGTCGAGGCAACTTTTCAAGCCGTAAATGAAAATGGTAAAAGTGCTTAACTGCTTCACTAACCACTGTCAGAAGAATTATTAACATCAGGTAGTGCTGAAGTTACAATATGCATTAGGAAGGCGTTAGTGACAAGACAAAAAACGGTCACTAAATAGCATCTTACACTGGATAGTGTTTATCTCAGATGACTAGCACTTCATAGTGTGGTACTCTATTCTTTGTGAGAAGTGGGATTAGGAAATGTTGATTCCAAAAATAGCACACAACTCCTTAAAAGGCGTTTATATCACAGACCCTAAGCAGATATCTACTGGGCTCTGCTGTCACTCAAAACTTACAGAAACAGCTACCATGGTGTGGCTAAATGAGAAGTACCATCTACTTACATGCCACCAATTACTACATCTATCTGCCGTAAGTCTTGAAGAATAATAGCGTGATCAGCAATTGAATCCAACTAGAGATCAAATCTGATTTCTACACATCAGCTAATATTCCAGTTTAATAAACTATCCTAGACAGTGATGTTTACCCATCACAGCTCACTATCCTTTCTAGTTACAGCTTACTCAGCTTTAGGGACAGTTAGACATCCCATATTAATGTTGGATTGAGAATGGAATTGAACATCAAGAAACCGAAGAGTTTGCTGGAGACCAGTTTAACCGCTAAAAGTGTTCTACTCATCATTTCGATTGTCTTTTCCTGGTAATGAATCATTTTTCCGTATGTTTGTTTGTGTGTTTTTGATATAATTGGCATTATTTTAAATCCATCCATTCATCCATCTAGATCAACCTAGGACCAGACATTACTGCGTAACGGTTCGAGTTGCCACACCTCATATCACTACATCAAGTAAACAAGGTAGTGGAGTGCAAGATGAAAATAAGAAAACTCAGTCAAAAGAAATATAAAGTACTGAAAGAGAGAAAGAGAAAGAGAGAGAGGAAGAATGAGAAAATGGTGAGATTCGGTATAGCATCGTTAAGATGAGGATAATGTGTGTGGGGATACATCTGCTCCACAAACATCGGTTCTCACCCATATCACCTAGAGTCAGCCTCCAACCACTCGTTCCTCTTGTCTCATCGACCCCAACTGACTAGTCTGCATTGCCCCACATGGCTGAAACCAACAGTCAAAGACTTCATACATTGATGTCATGTTTTAGTGTGGCTACCTCAGGCGTTTTTCCAGTGTGGATCTACTTCGACTAACATTGTGTGACGAGGGAATTGACGACTAGGCATACGTAACACGTGTCGGAGCCAACCATCTCAATCGATGAAGGTTTATAACCTCGTCAACTGATTTACCTCTACTCCCTAAAACTCTAAACCTGACTCCTGCATTATTCACTTGCTGACACCACGGAATACGGCCCATACTTCGAAGACAACGGTGGTCAAACACCTGAAGCCAGCCTTCTCATATCTTCTACCTTGTATGGCCATGTTTCACAGCCATACAGTAGAACATGGCGGACTTCTGTGAAGTACACACGACGCTTAATAGACAATCGGATATCACGGTGGTGCATCAAATGGCGTAAATTGGCAAAAGCCAGGCAGCCGAGCCTTTTGTATTCGTACAAAGATTTCATCGGCCAGTGAGGCACCAGGTCTGATTCCACTTTCCAGGTAAGTGAAGTGGTTGACACACTCAAATACTATACCCACTCTCTATTGTTAGCCGTGGCACCGTTGGAGAGCAATCCTGGAGCAACAATTTGCATTTGAGTGGTAAGAAACACATCGCAAACATTCTCAAATTGCTGCTCAAAGTGTTCAAAAGACTCTGCATCTTGTCAACATCTTCACTCAACAGGACTATGTCATCTGCAGATTCCCCACCGATTACGGTAACCTCTGTGTAATCAGGTGAGGAGAGGGAGACCTCCATAAGAATATCTATGATAAAATTGAATAGGAATGGAGAGAGTGGGCACCCTTGACGGACACCACTGGATGGATGGCAAGTCCCTAGTTGGAAGGAACTCGTATCCAGCTGGATTCCACTGCTAGCCCCTATCCATCATTAATATAGTATTGATACATAGGGAATACCGAGGCATCCACTCAGGAGCTTATATGGCAATAGAGACTGGTCCAATCAACGACGGGGTAATACAAGTAGCAAACAACATGAAATGCTATCTGGCCAAAGGTTAAAATCCACTCCTCTATTCCAACCTGCTAGTATCATAGACCATCACCCCAATTTATATATGCGATAGCGCATTATTCAATTTGTTTATCTTGTGTTTTTGCGGACGTACTCTTCAGTTCAATTATCTCATTACAAAGTATCCAATGTGTTGATTTTTCTTCGCGTAGATCGTAGTTTGTGTGTTATATCTCATTTTTATTATGATGATGACTATTATATCATGATTGTGTGGTTTTGATTTTTAGTGGGATTGTCGAAATTAAGTCTGGTACGCCTTTGCGAAAACTATTTGCATCAGTCACGAAATCTGTGTCTGGGTAATTTATGCTTGAGTACTTAGTTTCGTCTGCTGTGTGTGTGTGTATGCGTCTACTCTGCTTTGCTAACTAATCATCATTAGCATTACTGTAATTATTATTAATACATTCGCCTTATTTGTATTCCCTAACCCCCCCCCCGTCTTCCCTCTCTGGGTTGGCAATTCGTTTTTGTCTTGTCCTAACTGTTGAGACGCTGAACTGCCCGCTCTGGAGATGAAATAAATTTTCTTTATTCATTTGCATGTCTTTTTTTCTAAAAAAAAAAATTAACTCTAGGTAGACAGTGGAATCCAACTTGATGCGCGTTTCGTCCTATTTGGGACTCGTCAGTAGAATGTACCAACACCCCAGTTTGAAGTGAGATGTTTTTCTCATTGAGGCTTGAATCTAGTATGCTTAGCTTCAAACACCAGAGTTTTATCCACTTAACCACTTCTTATACAACAGGTAATTACAAAACAAGTGGATATCGTGACCTCTGACGTTTGAAGCGATTGATTTCTAGTTGTAGTGGAAACAACATGGGTCACTAGGTAGTAAAGCATAGATGTATTCATCTGACTAGAGAGTCCCAAATAGGACGAAACGTACGTTAAACTGGATTCCATTGTTGTCCATCAAGAAAAGACTGTAACAGTGAGTTTATCTTTAAATATATCAGCGTAGAATTTTCTCTAATAATCAATGTTGAATGATAATTTTAATGTCTAGTAAATATACGTATATATATATCTACATTTCTTGAAGACATATGTCGGGTATATACGTTTGCATGAATTGATGCTTAACCTTGTAGCTAATAATATAGAGTGATAGTGTACTGATTTTTTATGAAGAAGTTAGACAAGTTTTTGCTGTATATATATATATATATATATGTATATATCCTCATGAATTGTTCTTTTCATGTACTAACCATTTGTATGTCTGTAAGTTTTGTTGATTTTTGTCTCTCTCTCTCTCTGACTGGTTAAAAATCTTCTTATATATTTCTGTTTCTAGACAGTATCAAGAGTATACTCCAATTATGTACGCTCCTATTTCAGGTGGGCAAACATACTATCATACAGCGAATGGACAAGTTAGTTCACTTATATCATAATTACTCTTATTTTGTGTATGTATTTTTCATAATGGTGTATTCCACTAGAAGCTTTCTTTAATGTTTAACGTACTCACACCTATTACGTGTGTGTGTGTGTGTGTGAAGTGAGGGCTAAAGGTACAACCTGACTAGTTGCCCAAACCCCCTTGGTAGGTGTAGTGGAGCTTAAACCCGTAACCCAGATCTCCACTACTCCAGAAGTGTAGTATACACTTGATCTGAACCAATAACTAGTAACCTGATCCAGTTAATCAGGCTAGCGAAATGTTAAGATCTAATGAGGTATACTGGCCTAAATAGTTGTTAGTTAATGTAAAGGGGATAGTCAATATTCTATTCTAACGTTGCCTCCTTTTTATCGAAAAGAAGAGGTTTCGAAACGGTCAAACGTAAGAATAGCACACTTCGTTGTGTGTGTTTGTCAACTTTCAAATGTGAATTTTTACTGCAGAGACTTAATCCAACAGTCAGAGAATTCATGATTGATCACGCTAAGCAGTTTTCTTTCAACCTATTCCAACTTCTCCTACTATTGCACGTCAACGTAGATGGTGGCTTGGCATATGCGACATATATTCCAAGCCACTTCAGTCGGTAAAGACTCATAATCATCGATTGAATTGGCTTGCCTGGGTAGTGCTTTTATTCTAATCATCCCATTGCTCACATGGTGATTTCACTTATACATGAGCAGTGTTATGTGTGTGAAGACCTGTGATCTCTGCATACCTGCTTACAATGAGCATATCTCGCAGCTGTATAATAAGATAGAGCGCATTGCAGCACAATGTTTTCATCCTTTAATAGGTAGTTGGATATGGATGACTGAATTTGACAAACATCAAATGGATGTCGTGTTTCCGAGTTGAGATTTCGTCAGCGACTAGCCATTTGATCTGATGCAACTCACCGAGTAATTGATATGGTCAACGCATTTCACCACTTCATTCCTTACCTTTAGATTAGGAGCCGGTGTATACTAGTCTTGAAGCATCATCTTACTTTTGGTAGGCGCAAAATGCATACCAGACATCCTCAGATTTCTGCTCAATACGTTCAGAAGACCCTACATTTTGTAAGCGTCTTCACTTTACAGGACAGGGGCAGTTACGATAGGCATCCCTGAAGAATAACACTGGTTTTTGCCAGTTTACGTAGCGATTGTCTTACATAGTTGGATGAGTTCGAGTAGAGAGCTTGGATTAGCGGCATATGCTTGCTCGATACCTTCTTCACAGTTAAACACTGTCACAAAATCTGACGGTCGACAGAGTCAAATATCACTTTCAACTCAACGCATATATGACAAGTGTCGGTGACCGGTAAGCATCTTTGTGTTCCAGAATCTGTCGGAGGGTGAAAACCCAATCGATGCGCCCTTGTCCGGGTTTGAAACCTGCCTAGTTCTCTGAATTTTGCTGTTTTTGAATCCCCGTTAGGTATTGGTTACTTCTGAATTCAAGGATCTTGGAAATGGTATTAGTTAGAGCAACCCCTCTATGACTGTCATATGAAAAAGTCTCTCCTTTCTTATGGGCTGGGAATGATCAGTGAAGTAAACTAGTGTGATGAGACTATGATTCACATATGCTATTTGATGCTTCCGTTACTCTACTATATGAATCCCTACCTCATTTCTTAAAAAATACTGATGGTAGACTATCAGGTCCCTCTGGTTTGCATCGTTCCGGGTTAAAACCAGCCTTCTCAACTTTCAGGAGAGTTGAATGATGCTTCGAAGTGTTCCTTCTAACATTAAAGCCGCCTGTCCTAAGACATCAGAGTTCCATCCTTTTGAGTAACGATATCACCAGGCATTGTATCCTTTTTGCGAGTAACTTGAATAAGCCCTAAATAATTGATGGTTATTGCGTAATACTGATGCCTTCTCCACCTCTCGCTTTCTCCACCCCCTACCACTACTGGTGATTAATGCAAACACTCTTGGTCAATTTACATCTGGGCTGCAGTCGCTCGTCACTGTAGTTAGAGGTAGTTCAGGTGAGATTCAGCAAATGCATTTACATTTGTTGACCTTTGGACATGGGTTATCAACTGTATCTACGTCTGTTTCTACAGTAAACTAAGTATCACACCACGCTTCCTCAAACGTTTGTTCACCTCCGAAACCTTCATATTTTTTATCGCCGAGTATTATTACTACTATTATTATATGTTCCTTGGGTTCCTAATGGAACATAGGACTTCAGTAGCACGTCTCCATTGCACTCTGTTCTCTGCAAACTTTTGAACCTCGCTCCATGACAGCCCATAAGCTCTCATTTCTTCCTCACGATCTCCATGTCACTCTCAGTTGAGACGCCTTACTCGTCGTTTCCCATCTGGGTTCCACTCGAGTAACTGGCCTGGTGCGTGATGTCCCCAGTCGGCCTTCTCCCTGTATGCCCAATCCATCTCCAGTTTACCCTTCTGCATATTTGTTGGGTGATAGGTTCTTGGTTGGTTCGTTGCCAACTAACCAGAGTTCCTTGTTGCTTATTATTCTGGCCTTCTGAGCTTCAGTAACGAGCCAGAGTAGGCGGCAGTTGTTGATGAATATCTGTAGTTTGTTAGAAATCCCTTTCGTAACGCGCCAAGTCTCTGAGCCATACAGAAGCACTGGCTTGACGTTTGTGTTTAAAATCCGAATCTTGTTCCACATAATGAGTGCAGTAGGTCTCAACACTGGTTTCAGGTTAATGAAGGAAGGCCTTTCTTGCTGTATTTCCGATCCTGACTGGATTTGACGTCCTCGTCTGTGCCTGTGCCGCCGCCTGTAGTTGAAACAGTGCTGCCTAGATAGGTGAAGTAGGCTACTTCTTTCAGGTTTCGCCCGTTGATGGTGATTGGAGCTTGTTGGTGGTGGTGGTGTTGGTTGGGTATCTTCATCACCTCTGTTTTCTCTATGTTCACCCGGAAAGAAGTCCTGTCTTCGCTGCCTAGCCTCTTCTGTCGACTTGTTAGTTTCGCCTATAGATCTTCAAGTTTGTGTGACCAGTATTACTCGTAGTTATTGCATACAGCCTCTGTTAGCCGGCATTTAAGTTACTCTGTTGTTCATTGTTTGTTTTTTTGACCAGTTAATGTACACTTATAAATTCATATTTATTTAGTCGTTAATGATCTTGTTCTTAGGATCATTTGTTGTTTTTACCGCTATATACACAGGATCATCATTATCATCAGTTTTGATCTACGTCTATTTCGATGTAACTACACGAAACTGAAGTCAACCATGTTATCTGTATCTAAGTATGTATTCGAAGAAGAAATGTTAATCGTAAACCAACTCATCTCATTGAATAATCTTTAATAAGACATAGTCTATATTCATCCATCGTTAAGCTGAAGTTGATGGGTATTACGTTGACTAATGATCTTTTCATGTCTTACTTACTTACTTATTTACTGGAACCTGTGTATACTATGCCTACATGTTTGATTCTTTTAATTCAGGTCTTAGCTACTACTTTTGGTTCTACGGGTACAACTGGTCATACTGGCAGTCTTCATGCTGCTGCAACACATACAAATCTAAGTACTGGTCATGCTCAACTAGTTACTCATCAAGGTGCTACATATTTAGTTCATGGTACTCAATTAGACGATGATACTTCAGCTATTTCGCATACAGCAAAAGCTAGTCCTGTCACTGTAAGTAAACTTTTTAGTGTGAATATGTCTATCTTGTATCTGTTCCATATAATCACTATCGAATTTTGAGGGAGTTATGGAGATTTGAAAATATTTCAAATTGTTATTCATTGTAGAATGACATCAGTTGAAGAAACAAATGAAACCTGGGAGCACTGGACAGCTGTTTCGTCAGGCTTTGACTCCACCTGATAGTCATGAGGACAGTTTATTCAACAATTACATTTGGTGGCAGTTGCGCTATATCGTGAGCTAACACAAGTTGGAAATATGGACGATTAGATTGTGACCCAGTGGTTAGCTCAATGGTAACGTTCTGGCCATCAAACCTGAAGGTCGCGAGTTCGATCCGGTGAGGGCGGGGTCGTGGGTGCGCACTGCTAAGGAGTCCCATACTAGGACAAAACAGCTGGCTAATCAGTGCTCCAGGTTTCCTTTGTTCCCATCAACTGATGTTAGTCTACAATGAATAACAACTTGAAATATTTTGCAAATCCCCATAACACCCTCAATATTCAATTGAATTGATGCTCATTGGTGACTAGCTTCGAGAGGTATTCATGAAGTTCCAATGAGAAGTCATGACCGTTGAGGGCAAAGCCTGATAGTCATGAGAACAGTTACTCAACGATGACATTGGTTGGCAGTTGCACTATATCGTGAGGTAATATACAAGTTGTAAATATTGACGATTGGATTGTGACCCAGTGGTTAGCTCAATGGTAACGCGCTAGCCGTGGAACTTGAAAGTCGTGGATTCAATCCGGTGAGGGCGGGGTCGTGTTTGCGTACTGGTCTGACGAAACAGCTAGCTGTCCAGTACTCCAAGGTTTCCTTTTGTTCCACCAACTGATATCATTCTACAATGAATAACAACTTGAAATAATCGCTATTGTTTATTTTACTCCAGTTGATTATTTCTTCTTTTTTCTTTTAGGTACAATGGCTTGTTGATAATTATGAAACAGCCGAAGGTGTTAGTTTACCAAGAAGTACATTATATTTTCATTATTTACAACATTGTAATGAACATAAATTGGAACCAATGAATCCAGCATCATTTGGTAAATTAATTCGTTCAGTATTTTATGGTCTTAGAACAAGACGTCTTGGTACACGTGGAAATTCTAAATATCATTATTATGGAATACGAATTAAGCCTAATTCACCATTAAATCATTTTATTGAAGATGCAGGTTTCTCTCTTCGACATTATCCAAATTATCATCGTCAAACAATGGAAGCTGCAGCAGAATGGAAAAGTTTTACAAATTCTTCATCATTGAATCGTTTAAAATCTTTAAGTGGAAATAATGCCAATAGTAATAATAATAATAATAATAATAATAATGATACTATTGGACAAAATAATCTAACATCTCAATTGAATAATATTCATTCTACATCACATATCAATAACTCTCAATTATCTCATTACAACACTTCAAGTATTCTACGTACAGAAAAATCTTATATAAACAATTCATATACAAGTGGAAATATTTTATCTAGTTCTTCTGGTAGCCAAAATACTGAAAATATAACTACAACACAATCATTATGTAGTCCAGTATTACTTTCTAGTGGTCAACATCATACACAATTTCTTGGTGAGGCTAGTTCTGCACTACCAAATTTAGATGAAATATGTCGATCATCTGGTCTTCCAGTGCCTAGTGAAGGTAACATTTTTGATTTCTTGGTATTGAAAGTGAATTAACCATAATTTTTTTTTTTAACAAGCAAGTGATATTATTATTATTTTCTCCTTTGGGTTCCTTGTGGAACATAAATAGCTTCAGTAGCACACCTTTATTCCACTATGTTATCTGCAATCTTTTCAACTTGGCGTCATGACTACCTACAAGCTTTCATTTCTTCCTCACATCATCTTCGCCTTGTTACTCTTCATCGTTTCCCCTTTGGATTCCATTCGACAATCTGGCATGGTGCCTGATATCCCTGAATGGTCATCTCAGTGCATGCCCAATTCATCTCCGTTTTATTCTTCTGCGATGGCTTCTTGGTTGGTTCGTTGCCAGCCAACCAGAGTTCTTTGTTGCTTATTCCTATTATTCTGGCAATCCATCTGATCTTCAGTATCAACCAAGTAGTATAGCTTATTATAATGAAATTTGTCATTGTCAATTAATGTCATTTGCAGTCATGATTAGTTTATATGGTTGGTAAAAAAATTGAAGCACAGGCAATATCGAGGTATTCATGCAGGAGTTCAACAACGTGATAATACAAGCAACGTCATATAAGTTATATCCGTTACACAGAAAGTAGTTATCGTGATTCCATTGCCTAGTGGATGTCATTTCGGTGTTTAAAGGGATGGGTCCTGAGTACGAGTCCTAGTGGGGACAACATCGCTCACTAGGAGTCACGTAACTTCAGCTGACTAAAAAGTCTTAAATAAGACATCCATCGTTAGTTTATAAGATTTATGCAAAAAGGCAAGGTGTAATAAGAAGTTTGTCCACACCGAGTCGAATTATTTGCTCACAACATATCGTGACTAAATTTAATCTTTCGGTCAGGTGGTCATTATCAGCCTGGAACTTGGCTCGGTATTGTGTAACTCTGGAAGTTGTAATACCTTACAGTAAAGTAGAAGGCACTTAGAAGAAGGATGAAGAAATAAGACAGTGGCATTATGAGTAGGCTTAATACATGATAGAAACGTGTATTGAGGTCGAAAGACCGAGGACCAAAAAAAAGAAGAAAATTCAGCTAATATATAAATAGTTCGCTGTTTAACATGATCCTATTGATTGGCCGATCCATCGTCTATCTGTCTAACTGTATACGTCATAATATGAAATACATTTGGATTGGTCCCTCTTCAGGCTAGTCGTTTCTCTCTATCCCTATATCACCTCCCTTTTCGAAAGAATTTAATTTAGGGTCAGATTGGACCGTACTATCTTTGTCCTGAACCTATCTGACCGACGCAGAGGGAGTTTTCTCTTGTATACTGGAGGGGGGGGGGTGTCAGTAGTCTTCTGGATATTCTTTCGGCTGACAGGTGCATGAGCAGGGAAATCAATTACCAAGCCAAGAGACTTACCTACCGATTGGAAATCAGATTTGTGGCGGTATCTGGAGGAATGGCCTTTGTACTCCTCGTTGTGTGTGTTGGTGACAAAAACCGTCCTTATGGCCCTCGAGCATTACAGTCCAGGTATGGATGTTGTTAATGTGGACAAGATTTGACGAAACGCCATGAAGGCGATTGGCTGTCTTTTTCGAGGGTCAGTTAGTATCGCATGAGTTATTGATCTGATGAACAGGCGAGATAAGGCTAGGGTGCGTGTGGCTGGATGTTCATGCGGAGGAATGAGATATCTGGCTAACTGTATGTACTTCAGAACTACCTTGACGTCCAGATTGGGCTAAACTCATATCGTTACAAGAGAGTACAAACTCCACTCCGCCTATTTGGAGTTTGGTCTACTATGTAGTATCAATGAACTCTTACACAATCAGTTAAACTCACTGCCATCTACTGTACAAAAATGTGGGTGTATTTACTGCGTTGTTTGTCAGCTTTTTTCATTTTGGTATGTCATTCTATACCAATGGAAATATAGTTATCTGTCTGTAGTAAAAGCACCCATAACCTGACTAGGAATCAAACTCAGGGCGTTAAAGTTTCATGGCGGACAAGTTAACCATTCAGCCAGTAGGTCGGATTTCAATGACTCAAAGTTTCTAATTTCTGCCAGTTCAGGACATAGCGTGATTATCACCAAAGGTTTTAAGTTGGTGTCCGCCCTCTTTCCGATTGTTTGACCCCACAGGTCACGGCTTCTCATTAGAACTTCATGATATTCATCTGTGCAATAATGTATTTTTGAAATGAAATGAATGGGTACTTTAATTTAGAGGTAGCATTCATAATAGACTGACGCGTTCTCCGTGAAGGTTCTGAGTTCGATCTCCAGTCGGGTCGTGGGTGCCTACTTCTGAAAAGTACCATACTAAGACGAGACAGGTGTCCAGTACCCTCTGGTCTACAATGACTCCCCAACTAATGTCAGTCCGTAATGAATACTGCATCTAAAATGCGTTTAATTATTGTTTACTAAGATGAGTCAGTTGAGGTTGTCGCTTACAAACCTTTTTGTGGGGAAAACTCTACACTATATCCCACTGAAATGTCATTGTTGGTAGTGAAGTATTATTTACGCTTTAATATTGTGCTTTACAATAATTTTATGCTGCAATAATCGCAGTCTATTTTTTTGGAGTAAACACTATTGGAAAATTGTAATTTGCTCATAGCCTTGAACTCTGTTAGTATGTACATTTTCACGTAATCCCACTTCAAATCGAGTTCAACCGGTTGTAAGAGACTACAAGTTTTTTGATTATAGGTGTGTTTGTAACATTCCTGGCGTGTATGGTTAGGCAATGTTGATGTCAGGCGATAGGTACTAGGCAAGATAGACAAGTGGATTGACGAGGTTGTAAACCTTCACCGACTGAGGTAGCTTAGACTATGTGTCGTGCATATCGATCCACCACCTATCTCCACATGGGATTCCAGAAGAAGTTGGATTAGCTTGGAAAAGGTTTCAGGGTGGCCAAACCAAGACATTTCACCTATTGATGAAGTCCCGTGTTAAGGTTGACAGGACTATATTCTTCTTCACTTTGATATCCTTCTGTTTCTCTTCGTTTCGTTCTGATGTGTGCCCAGTTGAACAAGTTCAGATAGACAGATAGAATCAACGCAGAACCTCGAACTGGAGTGCTTCATCTCAAGTTGTCACACTTTACAATAGTATACAAAGAACAGATGGATAGAAAAGGAGTGATATGAAAGTGGATAAAACAGTGTAAGCGAATAAACTAGCTGAAGATAAAGGTCAGTGCGAGTATTTAAGCTCTAAAAGATGTCAAGGAGTGAATACAGCTGTGTCATTGTGACCGATTTTCAACCGTGTCACTAAGAGGACTCCTCAACCGTTGATTCCTTTTGTCTTATGCCCCGCAAAACAGACAGTCTACATCATCTTACACAAATTAATGTGACTACCCTAAACCTTTTTCTAACCTAATCCAGTTTCCCCATAGTTATTACACATCGAGGTAGGCGATAGCTCATTATGCACAGTACATGTTGAAGCCATTTCAATCGACAAAAGTTTACAGCTGCATCAATTGAACATACCTAACCTCATACTATGAAGACACATCTATATTTTAAGGTTCTACTCTGTTCTCTTGTTAGTTTACTTCCTGTTCTAAGGGTATTCAACACTTTCCCGACCGATAGCTGCTACCTTGACGTGGTGGTCGGACTTGCATATCACAATGACCCAACGAGCTATGCTGGTGGAACGCTTGTTCCCTCGAGGTCCTACCATACCAGAAAGGTCTGTTGGATAGTGGTTAGACGGAAAGCAGTTACCGTTATAGTGTAAATTGCTACACTATGATGGGGGTCTGAGGGCGAAGTCGTACTGCTGCTAGCTGGATGGAGTGTGACAGCAGCAAGGTGTTTCCCTTGGATGACCAGCAGTGCCATGCTGATGCTGCCTTCTCAGTGGAAGGAGTGGGGGGGGTTAGAAAAGGTCGGCCCCAAAAATAACACATTCCACCATGCCCCACGGTCTGCTGGGCCTGCGGTGTTGGTTCACTTGTCGTTTCCTTTCGACCATCCGGCCCCAAAAATACAAAAGGGTTGGAATTTGAGAATGTTTGGGATTCGATTTTCTCCACCCAAATGCAAATTTTTGCTCCAGGACTGGTCTTCAGCAGTACCGCGGCTAACAATAGAGAGTGAAGTGGTTGAGTGTGTTGACCGCTTCACTTACCTGGGAAGTAGGATCAACCCTGATGGGTTAGTTGCCGATGAGATTTCTGCACGGATACAAAAGGCTCGATTGGCTTTTGCCAATTTGCGCCACCTATGGCGCCTCCGTGATATTCGTTTGTCTATTAAGGGTCGCGTGTACTGCACAGCAGTCCGCTCTGTTCTACTTTATGGCTGTGAAACATGGCCATTGAAAGTGGAAGATATGAGAAGGCTTCAGGTGTTTGACCACCGTTGTCTTCGTAGTATAGGACGTATTCCGTGGTGTCACCATGTGAGTAATGCAGAAGTTAGGTGTAGAGTTTTGGGGAGAAGAAGTAAGTCAGTCGACGAGGTTGTGAACCTTCATCGACTGAGATGGTTGGGACACGTGTTACGTATGCCTAGTCATCACCGATTGCCTCGTCACACAATGTTGGCTGAGGTGGGTCCAGGCTGGAAAAAGGCCCGAGGTGGCCAGACTAAAACATGGCATCAATGTATGAAGTCTGTGACTGTTGGTTTAAGCCATGTAGGACGATGCAGACTAGGTGGTTTGTGTCCACGGGACAAGATGTATACACACATTATTCTCATCTTAACAACGCTATACCGAATCTCACTATTTTGTCACTCTTTCCTTTCTTCTCGTACTTTATATTTCTTTTGACTGTATTCACCTATCTTCATCCTTCACCTCACTACCTTTTTACTTGATGTGCTGATATGAGGTGTGGCAACTCGGACCGTTACGCAGTAATGCCTGGTCTTATGTTGATAATGATGATGATGATGATGATTCAACACTTTGGCATAATTTCACTTTGAAAATTATTACAAATCAGAAAATAAATTTGAAATTTATGCATAACAACCATTTGTATATCTATACAATAGGCAAAGAATTAGTTAAGCCTATTGATTTTGTTAGATGAACCAGTTAAGTGAAGTCTTAAAAGTTATATCGGTTACGTAATATCCTCTATCATCTCATTAATTATTTCTATACTTTCAGTTGATATAACTGCAGAAAATTCTTCTGGTAAAAATCGTTTAAAGACAGATTCATCTACTGATACATTAATGAATGAAGATGTAATCACATTCTGTCGATTATATGCTCTATCTGCTGGTTATATGCTTGATGCTGTAATAAATTTAGATTTTACTGCAATTGAAACTGTATGGAAAGCTTTTTGGTGCACAGAAGAAATCAGAGTAAGTGATTACATTAATGATTTATATATTTTGATTTATATTTACCTAATAATTGAATGGATCAAAAAGAATCAGGAACAAGGAATTTCTAGCTGACTGGCAACAAACCAACTAAATAACCTATCGTCTAACAAATATGCAGAAGGGGAAAATAGATATGGATTGGATTGGGTATGTACACACTGGGAAGTTCGACTGGGGAACATCACGCACCAGGCCAGGCTGTCTAGTGGAACCCTCATGGGAAACGATGAGTTGGGCATCCCAACTGAAGATGACATGGAGCAGATGGTGTGAGGAAGAAATGAGAGCTTGTGGGCTGTCATGGAGCCATGTTCAAAAGTTTGCAGAGAACAGAGTGCACTGGAGACGTGCTACTGAAGCCCTATATTCCATTAGGAACCCAAGGGACAAATAATAATAATAATAATAGAATGATAATTTGTGTGTGTTTAAGATGCATTTCTTACTGTTCAAATGAAAATTCTTGCTCTAGGACCAGTTTTCAGCGGTATCCTAGGTGATTGTGAAGAATAAAATGGTTGAGTCTATTGGCTACTTTACTTACCTGAGAAGTTGGATCAATCCTAATGCTATGGTTATAGTGGCCAACGAAATCTCTACATGGATACAAAATGGTTTGATTAACTTTCGCTGACTTATACTATATATGTTTAAGTTCGATCTTTTCCACTGTATGGCTATGAAACATAGTCATTAAAGGTGTTTGACGACAGTGTAGAGTTTTAAAGAAAAGAGGAAAGTCAATTGATAAAGGTGTGAAACTTGATTGAATGAAATGGCTGATTCATATGTTACACATGCTGTGTAATCATCTCCCTTGGTTAACCATTTTAACATCATTGGGTTTTTTGCTGTTGTGAAATGTAGTCGACTTAAACTGACTTAAACGAGATTCAACGTTGGTGTATTTATCTGCTTACTTATTGTTCAACTATTGATTTAGTTTGTTTATGGGTACTTTTGACCACCTTGTCTCTTTGATTCACACTGACATTTAAAGATGTCATTAACCGGTTCCATTCATTCTACAATCGTTGATTCTTATCCCTTGCATAACGCTAAATCCTACAGCCTATTCTACTCAAATCATCAATAATCAGAGACTTCATCGACTTGTACCGCTTATTGGTTTGAATACCTTTTACACATTGAGGTGAGTGGTTGTTTGGAATATACAACACATTTTTAAGCCATAGCGTTATAAATCAGTAATTTCTTCATATCTAAGTTCAGAGGCCATTTCTTACAGCGAATTGTTACACGGTGTACTCATCCTTTGATGTTATTATTGGATAATAGTTGCTGGCAAATGCTGAATAGGTCCTTTATATCCGAGTTGAGATATCTTCAGAAGTCAATCTCCTTCGTATTTACACAACTTCCTGAGTAAGTGAAGTGTTCAACACCGCCATGCTATAATCTCATTTCTTTTCCTTAAATTAACAGTCTTTGCATATCAATTCTGTTGCTATACACGTCCGAAATGCTCAACTTCTGTTGGCAGATGAGCTTCTATAGGGATGCTTCGGGATGCTGATCTTGGTGACTAGCAGAAGAATCCAGCTTGATGCGCATTTCATCCTACTTGGGACTCGTCAGCTGAATTTATCTGCATCCGATTGTGGAGTGGTGTTGTTTCTACTGAGGCCCAAACTTACTACCGTTTGCTTCAAACTCAGGACCATTAAACAATTAGCCACGTTGGAATTTCCTGTTGCTATACAGAGCCGAGTTTCCTCACCTCCTGGGTGCAGGTACATCGAGCTTACCTATCCCAAATAGGACGAAATGCGCGTCCTAGATTCCTTAGCTAGTCATTTAGATGTAATATTGCTTATCTTAGTGCTTTCTCTGTCAGCTTGTGTAAGGATTCATAGGATTATATATCTTTTATCCTATTGTTCATAATATGTATGCCTGGAATCAACAGGATTGTACTATTAAAACAACTTAGATACTCAGAAAGCAGCACTCACACTGGCCTGTAAATTTAACCAATCAGATCAGAGATTGAGCTTATCAGCAGGATTACCTGAACAAATTTAGCTCACAGAGTTGAATTGTTCAGATCACTTGAATCTTGCTAGCTGGTATACATGGTTGCTTCCCAACCACGTTGTGTTAATGTGAACATTTCAGTCGATTATATGAAGTGAATTTGTCCGAGTACACCATTGTCGGGTGGTCAACGCCAAACAAGCGAAACAGATCTACAGATTACCCTGAATAGTTTCTAGCTAATCATGTTGTTCATTAATAGCATATTTCATTTGTTTATGATACTTCGGTAGTTGAGATCACACTTGGTTATCTTGAATAACTAATGGAAAAGTGGTTTCACATTATTGAGTAATTCAAAGAAATGGAGATAACAGTTTTCTCATGAACAAATTCTTGTTTGCCAGATATCGAAGTTGTAACCAATATTCACTAGTCTACTGGTTAATAAAGTCAGACAGATCCTGTTTTCGTTCTGACCGATTCATATCACTTCACTAATAGTAGTAGTAGTAGTAGTAAGAAGAGAATTTTAACTCATTTGAATGTCTCATTTACGCCTTCCAAGGGAAGTGAAGACAGGAGTAAACCAAAGATGCCGCCTACTATCACAGATCATCTTCCTGATTGTGGGCGGCTGGATCATGCAACAAAACGTGAGTAACGAGAAGATAGGCATACGCTGGCAGGACCGATGAAAAGAACCTAGAAGATTTGGATTTCGCTGTTGACGATTTGTGTCTAATGTCTCACAAACTCGAAGATCTGATCTACAGGCAAAAACTAACAAGTTGACTGAAGAGGCAACGAAGACAGGACTTCCAGTGAACGTAGAGAAGATAGAGGTGATGAAGGTACCCAACCAACAGCAGCTCCAACAACAAGCACCAATCACGATTAACGGGAGAAACTTAAAGGAAGTACCCTCCTTCACCTGCTCATGTAGGCGGCATCGTTTCAACTACTGGCGACAGATGCACAGACGAGGAAGTCAAATCCAGTCAGAATCGGAAATACAGCAAGACAGGCATTCACTAATCTGAAATCAGTGTGGAGATGTTCTGCACTCAACTCAGCATAAAGCGTGAACAATATCCGGATTTTGAACACGAATTCGGTCAAGTCAGTGTTGCTGTGATGGTTCAGAGACTCGGTGAGTAACGAAAAGCATTTCCTACAAACTACAGATATTCATCGACAACTGCCGTCTACTCTGGCTCCTTACTGAAGATCGATGAGATGGCCAGAATAATGAGAATAAGCAACAAGGAAGTCACTCTGCCTGCCTGGCTGGCTGGTTGGCAACGAACCAACCAGTAACCTATCGTTGAACAAATATGCAGAAGGGTATCGTGGAGATGGATTGGGCATACAGTGAGAGGACCATTCGGGGACATCACTTGTCGTGCCAGGCCGTCGAGTGGAACCCGCAAGAGGAGTGACGAGTTGGGTGTCTGAGGCTAGTGTGACATGGAGGAGATGGTGTGAAGAAGAAATGAGAGCTTGTGGGCAGTCACCGAGCCAGGTTGAAATGATTGCAGAGAAGAGAGTGTAACGCAGATGTGCTACTGAATCGGTATGTCCCACTAGGGAACCCAAGAGAAAAATAAATATAATAATGTTTCATTTATTGTTTCATGATGTATTGTGTTGATAAATTCCTGAATTTCTCTTAATTGGACACTAACTACAAACAGTCTACTTGCGTACAATACGTTTAGTAGTAAGGAGATTGATATCTTCTACAAGTTATACTTTGTTTTATAAGAGTATTAAAGTAAAACAAAGAGACACAATCAACGTAGAACCTCCCAGACAACTAGATTAGTTCAACTTGTTACTGGTGGATAGAAAAGGAGTGATATCGAAGCAGACAAAGTTGTGTGAAAGAATAAACAAGTTTTAGATGTCAAGGAGTTATTACATCTTCACTATTGTCACCGATTTCTAGCCATATCAACAAGAGTTTAAAACTACTCATTCCTATCGTCTCAGGGATACCAGCCAGGCAGACAACATCTCCTAACACAACTCATTCATCAATCAGAGATTCCATCTACTAGTACCACCCACATCTTGGCCTGACCATCCTAAAATATTATCTAATCTAATCCATCTTCTACTATGCATAGCATATCGAGGTAGGCGGTGCCTCACCATACTCAGTATATAACGTTCAAGCCATTTCAGTCGACTAAGGTTCACAACCTCATCAATCGACTTGCCTATCTTGTCTAGTATTCTTCGCTTGATCTCAACATTGCTTATATAGTGATTCCAACCAATGTGAGCAATACTACGTAAACATATGCAATTGGAAGCTCTTCAGTCGTAGTGCAGTTTAGTCGTTATTTTGATAGATAGTCGGTGAAACAAATAACATCAGTTGGCAAATGTCGAATTGGCCTTCTATATCGGAGTTAAGATTTCATCAACAACCAGCGTGTTCGAGGTGATGCAGCTTCTCAAATGCCTGAAGTGATTGACACATTGTACCATTGTTAAAATTCAGTGAAAATGTGTCTGAAATCATATTGTTTTGTTCTACTCATTGGATTATCTATTCTATCTACAAGTTGAAGATTTCAATGACCGATTTCATACATTATTATTATTGTTATTTATCCGATGGGTTCCTAGTGGAACATACCGATTCAGTAGCACATCTGCGTTACACTCTCTTCTCTGCAATCATTTCAACCTGGCTCGGTGACTGCCCACAAGCTCTCATTTCTTCTTCACACCATCTCCTCCATGTCACACTAGCCCCAGACACCCAACTCGTCACTCCTCTTGCGGGTTCCACTCGACGGCCTGGCACGACAAGTGATGTCCCCGAATGGTCTTCTCACTGTATGCCCAATCCATCTCCACGATACCCTTCTGCATATTTGTTCAACGATAGGTTACTGGTTGGTTCGTTGCCAACCAGCCAGCCAGGCAGGCAGAGTGACTTCCTTGTTGCTTATTCTCATTATTCTGGCCATCTCATCGATCTTCAGTAAGGAGCCAGAGTAGACGGCAGTTGTCGATGAATATCTGTAGTTTGTAGGAAATGCTTTTCGTTACTCACCGAGTCTCTGAACCATCACAGCAACACTGACTTGACCGAATCGGTGTTCAAAGTCCGGATGTTGTTCACGCTTTATGCTGAGTTGAGTGCAGAACATCTCCACACTGATTTCAGATTAGTGAATGCCTGTCTTGCTGTATTTCCGATTCTGACTGGATTTGACTTCCTCGTCTGTGCATCTGTCGCCAGTAGTTGAAACGATGCCGCCTACATGAGCAGGTGAAGGAGGGTACTTCCTTTAAGTTTCTCCCGTTAATCGTGATTGGTGCTTGTTGTTGGAGCTGCTGTTGGTTGGGTACCTTCATCACCTCTATCTTCTCTACGTTCACTGGAAGTCCTGTCTTCGTTGCCTCTTCAGTCAACTTGTTAGTTTTTGCCTGTAGATCAGATCTTCGAGTTTGTGAGACATTAGACACAAATCGTCAACAGCGAAATCCAAATCTTCTAGGTTCTTTTCATCGGTCCTGCCAGCGTATGCCTATCTTCTCGTTACTCACGTTTTGTTGCATGATCCAGCCGCCCACAATCAGGAAGATGATCTGTGATAGTAGGCGGCATCTTTGGTTTATTCCTGTCTTCACTTCGCTTGAAAGGCATCACTGAGCTTCCTATTGTGAATTACTTGGCATGTGGCATCGTTATGTAGCTGTTGAATGAGATTGATAAAAGTTTGTGGTATTCGGTAGTGTTGAAGCAGCTGCCTGTCAAATTACGTCTCGGTCGACGCTGTCGACGGCGGGCCTTTTCAAAGTGGATGAAGTTGATGTGGAAAGAGAGGTGACTGCCGTTCTATACTCTGTTCTATGATGATGCATAGCATAGCGTTGCAATTTGATCCGCACATGATTTGAATCCAACCATCCTGTTCCGGTGGTAGTTTTGAATCTGGCGCATCTTTTGGTGTCTACAGGATGATGCCGCTTAATATTTTGCTTGGGGTGGACAGAGATGGAGGATGATTCCACGCCAGTTTTTGCAAAGGCTTAGGTCTCCTTTTTTTTTCTGAAGCTTGACTAGTTAGCCCTTCTTCCAATCTTCAGGTAGCTATCTTTTTTCCAGAAATTCTGTAATACTGGTGTGAGCATGTACTCTGTTGTCTCTGCTTCTAGTAGAATTCTGTCTGGTCCTGCCGCTATCACATATTTCAGTAGATTTATGGAGTTCAGGACTTCTTGTTTCGTCGGAGGGCTTGTGTTCACTGGTAGTTATGTGGCTGCAGGTGGTGGTCGACTCAAGAGCTTTTTGAAGTGGTCAGCCCATCTTTTCATTTGTTTCTCTTCTTTGGTAATTAGATTTCCCTCATCATCTCTTATTGGTTTCATCTGTGTTGATCTCTTCCCTGTCAGATAGTAACTTGGTTATTTGATATAATGTTGTCAGGTCTCTCCTACCAGCCTGCAGACTGTTCTGCTTCACTTGCCAATGTGTTGTAGAAGTGTCTTTTGTCTTTCCATGCACTCTTCTTCACTTCTTTATCCACTGTTTTATACGTTGTACTCAGTTCCTCTTTTCGTTGTGTATCTTTGCACTGGTTTATCTTCTGCTCCATCTTCCTCCTCTCTCTGCTCTATCAGCTTCGATGTGTCCATCAAGATCCATTCCTTTTCTTGTTTCCTCTTCTTTCCTTGTACAGTTATGCAGGTTTCTTTCCACATCTCTTTCAAAGACTTCCAGTGTTCATCCACATAGGTTTCTTCAGGGATGTTGTTCGATATCTCCCATTTTGTCTTGATGGCTGACGTGAAGATTTCCTTTGTAGTTTCGTCCTCCACTTCCTTTCTTGGTGTTGAACTTGAAATGTGGTCTATCACCAACTTCCTTGAAGGTTTTCAATTTGATTTAGAAGGCAGGTTCCATGCACTAGATAGTGAGTGGTCTTAACCTACATCTCCTCCCTTCTTGATCTTATGTCAAGTAGGCTGCATCTCCACTTTCTTGAAATTGAGATGAAGTCGATCTGATTTTTAGTGTGTCTTGTTCCTGGTGAAATCCATGTCGATTTGTGATTTCTTCTAAACTGTGTAGGTATCACTCTATTTCCATAGATGTTATTATAGGTGATTATTGTTATACTATTTTCAATCACTTTCATATATAAACTTATATTCATCACTATTCTTTATTATAGGATTCTCGTTTAAAACAAAGTCTATCTCAGGAACAATTATTTTCACTTGTATCTGATCCGGCTATTTTACAATTTGTTCGACTTTATGATCATACTTTCTATCAGTCATTAGCTGAAGTTTTAATTCCAAATGTTCTACGACCTATTCCTCCAAGTCTTACACAAACAATTCGAAATTTTGCTAAGTCTCTTGAAGTAAGTTTAGTTTATTTTATGCTTTTCTCTGTTGGACTCATCAAGTACAATTCAACCTAATAAAGCAACATAGAATTACAAGTATATCAATAAATAGTCATAGATATTACTCATTGTATAAGAGGATGGCTTAGGGGATAACACCTTGGCATTTGAAGTGATGGGTATAAGGTTCGAGTTCCAGTAAGAACAACATCACTCCATATTGGAGTGTAGGGTAAATCCAACCAACTGATGAGTCTCAAATAGAACGAAACATGCATTGAGCTAGATTCCTCTGCTAGCAAAAATTAAGTAAATTATCATATTTAATATTCAGGGAATATCGAGGCATTCGCATAGGAACCTATCTGCCAATAGAGAGGTCGAAGAAATTGATCCAGTAAAAACAACAATTACAAATAGATCACTGTATTGAAGACTTTTCATTCAACACAAATTGTCGAATGTTATACATTACAAACAACAAGCTCCAATCACCATCAACGGGAGAAACTTAAAGGAAGTAGCCTCTTTCACCTACCAACTAAGCAGCATCGTTTCAACTACAGGCGACAGACGCACAGACGAGGACGTCAAATCCAGACAGCATCGGAAATACAGCAAGACATGCCTTCCTGTATTAACCTGAAACCAGTGTGGAGATGTTCTGCACTCAACTCAGCATAAAGCGTGAACAATATCCGGATTTTGAACACGAATTCGGTCAAGTCAGTGCTACTGTGATGGTTCAGAGACTCGGTGAGTAACGAAAAGCATTTCCTACAAACTACAGATATTCATCGACAACTGCCGTCTACTCTGGCTCCTTACTGAAGATCGATGAGATGGCCAGAATAATGAGAATAAGCAACAAGGAAGTCACTCTGCCTGCCTGGCTGGCTGGTTGGCAACGAACCAACCAGTAACCTATCGTTGAACAAATATGCAGAAGGGTATCGTGGAGATGGATTGGGCATACAGTGAGAAGACCATTCGGGGACATCACTTGTCGTGCCAGGCCGTCGAGTGGAACCCGCAAGAGGAGTGACGAGTTGGGTGTCTGGGGCTAGTGTGACATGGAGGAGATGGTGTGAAGAAGAAATGAGAGCTTGTGGGCAGTCACCGAGCCAGGTTGAAATGATTGCAGAGAAGAGAGTGTAACGCAGATGTGCTACTGAATCCGTATGTTCCATTAGGAACCCAATAGACAAATAATAATAAGGTAATAATATAACGTGTAATGTGTAAGAGTACATGCTACATTCAAAGGATGTATTTAAATGATTAAGACAAATTGGATGGAAAGAATTTGATGAAAAATGTCATATGGATAAATTTGTTAGCCTAAGGTTCAAGCAGGCTCCCCAATGCAGCTGTGTCTTAGTTATTTAAGGAGATGATTATCAACTATTGGGTCACTGGCTTGAACGCTGCTTTTTCTACTAAAGTTTAGGGAGCCGGTTTATATCATACACAATAGGTGTCAACTGCGATGGATGAGTACGTGTAACCTTACCGTGTTGTGAATTCATAAATTAAATTATCAGAGGTTTTCTTTAAAACGCAGGGTTTCTAAGTTACTTAAACAGTTTACTTTCGTCACTAAACAACATATGAGTTCATCATTCTAACATCCATAGTTGAAAGATCGAAAAGTTTGTAGGTACATTTTGAAGCGTACACTGTTCTTTTAGGTGGGGGGGGGGGGGGAATAGAGCAAGTGTTCAGTTACTATCATTATAATAGCTTCCTAAAAACTTACTTTGGAATGACAGTTTTTAATGTAGAGTAAATAATCACTAGTTTAGTGTATATGTTTGACCGCAATTTAAGGACGTTTTTCCACCCTTTACTACCAGGATAACGACCAGTAAGGTATCATCGTCAACACTATCATATCTGGTCGCACACATAGAAAGGAGGAATGATGCATTAAAAGTAGGAGGCAGAAAGCGATTACACATCTTCGATCACAGGTATCTTCGTAGTATTGCTTTTGCTTGATGGAATCACTGTGTATGAGCAATGCTCAGGTCAGGCGAAAGGTGCTAGGCAAGTCGATTAATGAGGTTATGAACCTTTGTCAACTGAGATGACCTTGACGTGCTATGTATGGTGGAGAAAGTTCGATTAGGATGAAAAAGGTTTCAGGTTGACCACATCAACCTCTAGCACTAGTCGACAAAGTTCTGGAGATGTGTAGAAAGAAGGGGATGTAGACTGCTTGAAGGGGGGAGGGGCGTATTTGAGACAGAAAGAATCACTGGCAACAATTGTCGTTTTATAATCTACTTATCTTTTAATAACATAATTTTATCGATAGTTATAATAAGCGTTTATTTATTTATTCTGATAAATCTTTAGGGATGGATGCGTCAAGCTACTCAAGGTTTAGATTCAGCTCTTGTGGGTTTAAAAGTCTCAGCAGTTTCAGCCCTAGCTCAAACACTAAGACGTTATACTAGTCTAAATCATTTAGCACAAGCTGCTCGTGCTGTATTAAAAAATGTCAATCAAATTAATCAAATGTTAGCTGATCTCAATCGAGTTGACTTCAATAATGTACATGTGAGTGTTATTTTACATATTATTGGATTATATAAGAAATTGATATGACGATTATTGAGTAGGTAAACTAAACTTCGACTAGATAATGTGTTGAATCTTTTCTTATAGAGTTGAAAGATGAGATAATATTTAACTGGTAAATAGCAATAGACAAAGTCAACATAGAATTTTACATACAAGTGGATTACTTCAAATCGGCACACTTTACCACAGTTAGCGCGTCAAAAAAGCATCATATCAAAGTAGACAACATTGTATGAAAAGATAATGGTTAACTTTAGAAGACATGTGTACCATTGTCACTGGTTATCAGCCATATCACTATGAGTTTTCAACTATTTATCCCAACCCAAACAGTTTATATCTTCCCATATGACTCATTTCAACAGTCAGAGACTTCATCAACTGGTAGAATGTCTTGGCTTGGCTACCCTTGACCCTTTCCCAACCTAGTCCAACTTTTCCTAACATGCATGATACGTCAAGGTGGATAGTGGCACATCTCGACGTATGCAATACATGTCAAAACAAAATCAATTGGCAAAGTCTCACAACCTATTCAACTGAATTTCTTGCCTTAGTTAATCTTTAACTTCAACATTATTCATATGGTGATTTAACTGTACATGAGAAGTGCTACGAAGAAATATATACTCGAAAATCTATACACTCTACCTAGAACAGCCATGCTAAAAGAAACTGGACTACAATGGAAAAAAAAAGTTCAAAATGGGTCACACCGATCACATGACACCAGTAGGTAGGTGAAGTCTTTGACTATTGGTTTGAGTCGTATAGGACGATGTAGATAGCCTGGTTGGGGTCCCTGAAAGGTAAAGAATCAGTGATTAAGAAGTGTTGGCTAGAAATCAGTGACAATGACACTAATGTATTCACTCCTTGACTGACGTCTTCTAAAGCTAACTGTTATCTTCAACTGGTTTATTCTCTTACATAACGTTGTCTATTTTGATATCACTCCTTTCCAATGCATGTTAGGTTCTATATTTATGTCATCTACCTCTCTGTCCTACAGTATGGGGTTGACAGTGTTTTATAGGGCATTGTAAGCGGTATAAGCTTTAATAATACTTTGCTGAGCACATGTCCCAGTTTTTATTATTATTTATTTCTTGGGTTCCTAGTAGAACATACAGCTTCAGTAGCACGTCTTCATTCCACTCTTTTTTCTGCAAACGTTTGAACCTGACTCCACGACTGCCCACAAGCTCTTATTTCTTCTGCATACGATCTCCTCCATGTCACCCTCGCCTCAGACGCCCAACTCGTCGTTTCCCATCTAGGTTCCACTTGAGCAACTGGTCTGATGCGTGATGTCCCAATCGGCCTTCTCAGTGCATACCCAATCCATCTCCACTTTCTTCCACTGCATATTTGTTGAGCGATGGGTTCTTGGTTGGTTCGTTGCCAGCTAGCCAGAGTTCGTTGTTGCTTATTCTTATTATTCTGACCATCTGATCGCCATCTTCAGTATCGAGTGAGCGTAGGTGGCAGTTGTTGATGAATGTCTGTTTCAATAACTGAATGAAATCCATATTACCGTATACACCGTTAATACTTGATAATATTATATGTATATATACTGAAGATAAGATGCCTAGAATAATAAAAATAAGCAACAAGAAACTTTGACTTGGCAACAAGCTAACTAAGAACCTATCACCCAACAAATATGCAGAAGAAGAAAGTGGAGATGGATTGAATTGGGCCTACACTGAAAAGATCACACGTCAGACCAGTTGCTCGAGTGGAACTCAGATGGGAAACGACCAATTGGGCGAGGGTGTTATGGAGGAGATCATGTGATGAAGAAATGAAAGCTTCTGGGCAGTGGTGGAGGCAGGCTGAAAAGATTGCAGAGAGCGTGCTACTGAAGCCTTATGTTCCACTAGGAACCCATGGGACAAATAATAATGTTTTGGTGTTTATCGTTTGATATATCTGAATACTTATTGGATAATTTTGTTTTTATGGGTTCGAGGCGCTAATGGTATATGTATATATGCCGAAACGAATATAATACACGCGCTTAGCTGACAGCTAACTTGGTACGCAAGAGACACTGACTGCAACCCTGGGACGAATAGAGAGAAGACTGAAGCTGGCAAATGGGCGAGTGTATTACCCCGAGAATATAATAACAATGAATCAATCCAAAACACGTGAATAAGTATACACATGAAAAATGACATTGTTCGCGATTGGAGAAATCCGCATTTATTATTATTATTATTATTATTATTATTATTATTATTATTATTATTATTATTATTATTAGTCCCTTGGGTTCCTAGTGGAACATAGGGCTTCTGTAGCACGTCTCCAGTGACCTCTGTTTTCTGAAATCTTTTGAACCTGGTTCCACGACAGCCCACAAGCTGTCATTTCCTCCTCGCACGATCTCCTCCATGTCACCCTCGGACGTCCAACTCGTCGTTTCCCATGGGGATTCTACTCGAGCAACTGGCCTGATGCGTGATGTCCCCAGTCGGCCTTCTCAGTGTATGCCCAATCCATCTCCACTTCCTTCCACTGCATATTTGTTGGGTGATAGGTTCTTGCTTTGTTGGTTCGTTCCCAGAGTTCCTTGTTGCTTATTCTTTCTGGCAATCCATCTGATCTTCATTAGCGAGCCAGCGTAGGCAGTTGTTGATGAATGTCTGTAGTTTATTGGAAATCCCTTTCGTAACGCGCCAAGTCTCTGAACCATACAGAAGCACTGACTTGACTGAATTCGTGTTGAAAATCCAGATGTTGTTCCACATGCTGAGTGCAGAAGATCTCCACACTGGTTTCAGGCTAATGAACACCTGTCTTGCTTTTCCGATTCTGACTGGTTTTGACATCCTCGTCTGTGTCTGTGCCACCTGTAGTTGAAAAAGTGCTTCCTAGATAGGTGAAGGAGGTTACTTCCTTTAAGTGTCTCCCATTGATGGTGACTGGAGTTTGTTGTTGTTGTTGATGGTGGTGTTGGTTGGGATTCTTCATCACCTCTGTCTTCTCTATATTCACTTGAAGTCCCAATCATCGAATTACATTACAATGGAGGCAGAAATAGGCTATTAGTTATACCGCCAAAACGATATGGAAAAATGACACATTAAAATGTTCAGATCAGTAACAATGTTTTTATACAAAACTGAGGCATCACAACATTTGTGTACCTTTTTTTTTCTTCTTTAAACTAATACAGGAACAAGCTTCATGGGTTTGTCAGTGTAGTGATGCTACTGTAAGCCAATTAGAGCATGATTTTAAAAGAATATTACAAAAGCATGCTTCATTAGAAGAATGGGCTCAATGGTTGGATACAGTCGTGACGAGTATATTACAACCACTTGAAGGCAATAGTTTAGCGTATACTAGAGCTGCACATCAATTAGTATTAAAATGGTCTTTTTACAGGTCAGTAGTATTATTAATATTTTTTTTTATAAATTACACTCACATTATGTTTTTATATCATCATAGAACAGAGTATAGAATGACAGTCAACTCGACTCTACCTGAAATTCATCGATTTTGAAAAGGTCTTCAATGGCGTCAACTGAGAAATAATTTAGTAGTTACTTCAACACTACAGAGTGCTAGAAATCTTTATCAATCTCATTCAACAGCTATATGATGACACCATATGCTAAATGATTTACAGTGGAAAGCTCAGTAGTGATGCCTTTGAAGTAAAGACGGGAAGGAGTAAGACGAGGTTGTCTACTATCACCAATCATTTTCCTGGTTGTGGTGGACTGGATCATGCACCCAAACCATGAGGAGTTAAAAGATGGGCATACACTGGCTGAACCGATGAAGATTAGGATTTCGCCAACAATGATTTATGTTTAGTGTTGCGCAAACTCGAAGATGTACAGACGAAAACTAACAAGTGGACAGAAGTGGTAGGGCAGCGAAAACTGAACTTCAAGTGAATGTAGAGAAGATGGAACAAAAAGCACCAATCACGATTAATGGGAGAAACCAAAAGACAGCAGTCTCTCACCTACCTACCTAGACAGCATCGTTTCAACTACTGGAAGAATAAGCAACAAGCAACTCATTTTGACAAAGAACCAACCAAGAACCTGTCGCCCAACAAATATGCAGAAGAAGAGAGTGGAGATTGGATTGGATTGGACATACAGTGAGAAGGTCGACTGGAGACATCACGCGCCAGGCCAGGTTAAGTCGTCGAGTGGAATCCAAAGGGTAAACAACGAGTTGTGTGTCCGAGTGTGAGATGGAGGAGATGGTGTGAGGAAGGAATGATTCACGCACTGTCCTATGTAGTGGTATCTGCATTTCTGATAATCGACTTTAAAGATCACATTTATGATTTCTTCTTTGTTAGTTGGATGTTTCAGTTTGTATAGGGTATTTTGTAGTAATTTTGTGCTGTAATACTCCAATTCCAAGCAGATGCAGCAATCTGGCTGCTTTTCTCTCGGAGATGTTATTGTTCTATGGGCGGACAGTTCTTCTATCAATTTACCCTGTAAATTTTGACTTTGATCAGTCAACAAAACATTGTTTGAATAAAATTCTTTGCGGAACACAAGAAGTAGCTGTCGTGGCTCGGTGATGTAGTGGATAACATGCTGACGATTGATGCGCTCGCTCCCGAGTCCGAATCCCGGTGGGAACAACACTCGTTTTTATACTCTGAAAACAATGAACCACATGATAACCTGAATATAGGATGACAAAGGCTCTACGTAATAACTATGAGTAGCATTGGACTCTAAGAATATAAAGAAGATTTCGAAGGTGTAGACAAACTCGAAGAAGCCTGGCGTAATATTCAGTTTACTGTATAAACAGCCATAAAGACAGTTGTTAACCGATATCTATAAGTTAGTAAACGTAAATGGATTTCCTAAATCTCATCTGAACTGATTGATGCGAAAAGATCACACTGAAGAGGGAAAGCAACTCAAGCGTAAATTGACTAAGAGTCTTCGCAGGGGTCGTGAGAAGTGATGGGTGGTGATCGCGAGAGATCCTGGGGAGGGCATCAACACAACACTAGGTAATACCCGGCAGTTATTTAGCCTTATTAAAGATACTCTCCAAAAAGAAGATGATACCTAGTGAGGGCTTTATTGAAAAAGATGAGACTGTGATAACCTCGCAAGGCAGGTGACTACAATTTTGGATGGAACACTTCGACAGTTATCCAGCATCCAATCTGAACTTGGTTGGAATGCATGCGTCGGTCCTTCAACTCTTCTCAGTTAGGAAAGCTGTATGAAAGCTGAATCGATGGACTTGACAGTTTGCCACTTAACGTTTTCGTGGATGGAGGTAAGAAATCGCTAATTAAAGTGACGGAAGTACTAGGTAGTGTATAGAAATCAGAGGAAGTGCCGTCAGACTGGTCTACTTCACTAATCATTCTGGTCTATAGGAAGGGGGGGGGGAATTATGAAAACCATAGAGAAATCAGTTTAACTAACATCGTGTCTAAGATCTTGGGTACCGTAGTTACCTGGTACTTAACTGTAGTTCGAAAACCAGAGAGGTTCCAGCCCTGGATGAGGGTGCCTCGATCTGATTTTCATTCTTCGGCAGGTGCTGGAACACAGACATACTTACTAGTGGCCGATACTTGCCGTATTCCTTGACCCAAAGGCAGCATTCGACTCTGTTGATCGTAAGGTGTTGTCGTAGTGTTTGACTGTGAAAAGAGTCATGAACAAGTATGTAAGGTTATTCAAGATTGTCTGCTTTCAGGTCTTATGGAGTGTTGTCATTAGAACTGAGTATAACCAGTGGAGTCCGCTAGAGATGCCTATTGTCACCGTTTCTATTTTACTTTGTCATTAACATACTAATGGACGTAGCCTTAGGTACATCAAACTTCACAGCAGTTGGCCTACTTCCTAGAGGTTATGTCGTCGACTTTGGGTGCACAGAAGACATATCTCCTGTTACGTGACGACGCTGACGCAATATAGTGTCTCCTGAACCCGTTGAACAATAATCTGAGTATGTTCGGTATGCGTTTCACACATTTTGTCAAATGTAAGATGATATTACACGAATGGTTTGCAGTTGCTCCTACTTTAAGAATAGAAAGTGAAGTGGTTGAGTACGTCTACCATCTCTCTTACATGGAAGGTCAGTTCGCTGACATAATTTCAGCTGGAATACAGAAAGCTCATTTAGCACCAGATGACTTGCGTCATCTCTGACGTCGGTGAACTGTTCAACTGTCTATCAAAGGAAAAGTATGTTATTTCTCTATAGTTCACTCTTTCCTATTATTTGGTTGTCAGACACGAATATTTGAGGTAGATAGTAAGCGCTTCGAAAATTTTAACCTCATGTAACCTCGTAATATTGTTTATGTGAGGCAGATTCACCAGGTGAGGAATGACGAGATTAAGTGTAGGGTCTTAGACAATGAAGGTTAATCATTCGATCAGGTTGTGAACCTTTACTGAACTGGACGACCTGGACATGTGCTGTGCGTTTCAAGACATCTTGTATGCTTTGTTTAATACATATATTTGCTTATCATTTGACTATACTGGGGTGATGATTGAAGATGAGATGAAAATCTAGGCCGCAACCGGATTCGAACTAGCGACCACCGGGTTATCGGCCCGTTGCTCTACCAACCCATCTACAAGGTTCAACTGTTGATCAGATTTTTATTTCATTTCAATCACCTCTCTGATTCAGTTAGATTTCGATTAGGATTAGATATCCTGACTAAGCAGCAACCAGTGTGAATATGATCAAACCGGTGCGTCACCAATTCATATGGTAGTCTGACAAAACCTCGTTTATAATTAAAGTGAAATAAAATTCTGGTCAGCATTTGAACCTTGTAGCTCAGTTGGTAGAACACTGGGCCGATAACCCTAGTGGTTGCTGATTTGAATCCGGTGGCGGTTCAAATTTGCATTTTACCAATATATTACATCATTGCATTCAAAATATTTATTTATTTGAAAAATTATTTCTGTATTACATATTTCCTTATCAGTTCAATGGTTATACGAGATTTAACATTGAGATCAGCTTCAAGTTTTGGAAGTTTTCATCTAATTCGTCTACTTTATGATGAGTATATATTTTATTTGGTAGAACACAAGGTTGCTGCACATTTAGGTATGACACCAGTTGCTGTAATGGGTGAAATGGGCAGGGTAAGACTATTTGTTATTTGTTGTTATTGTTTATTGATTTTTTAGGGAAATTTTCTTAAAATTTATTTTGGCATTTATCTACAAGTCGTTTATAACGATCAATATATTCACAGGCATCTGTATAAGAGCCCATGTATGACATAGAGGTCGAACAATTCGATCCAATAAGACAATGGAGGATTACAAGCATATTAATAGATAGTAATAACTAATATCCATTGTATAAGAGATGGTTATCATGCCTTAGTGGTCTAGTGGGGATACTGCTTTGATGTTTGAATCAATGGGTACGTGGTTCGAGTCCCGTTACATTACAGGTGCATCTAGCTGACCAGTCCAAAGTAGGAAGGAATCCCGCGTCAAGCTGGATTCTAATATCAACTATAATCAAGTCAATTATAACAACCAATATTCAAGCAATAATGAGTCATTGGCATAGGAATCCATGTGTGAATAGGGGTAGATTAATTCGATCAAGTAAGACAACGGAGGATTACAAGCATATCGATAAATAGTATTTCAGTGGGAACAACATCACTCTACACTGGGATGTAGGGTACATCCAGTTGACTAGCGAGTCGCAAATTGAATGAAACCCGTGTTAAGCTAGTTTCCAATGTCAGTCAATATATAACCAAGTCATTTTTATAACAATTAATATTCAGGCTATATCAAAGCATACGCATAAATGAACTCATGCTAATACAGGTGGATTAATTCGATCCAGCATAACAAAGAGGAATTACCAGGAGTATTATTACAATTGTACTAAATGTAAACATTCTAATCATTGGTGGAAAGGCTATAAAAATGTTAAGTACACTAGTAGTCTATGTTTTTCAAAATCTATCTACCTAGTCAGTCAAATGGAGATGCGCCATACATTTTTTTTTAAAAATTATTATTATTGAAGAAATACATTGAGATGACATGAGTATTCATATACTATTCTCCTTAAATATTGTGATCATTATGCGTCGTGCTACTCGTGTGATGAGTGGGACCCAGATAGGAAGCGACAAGTTGAGCGTCTGAAGCGAGGGTGATATGAAGAAGATGGTGTGAAGAAGAAATGAGAGCTTGTGGGCAGTCATGGGGTCAGGTCCAAAAGACTGCAGAGGACAGAGTGCAATGAAGGCGTGCTACTGAAGCCCTATGTTCCACTAGAAACCCATGGGATAAATAATAATGTATGAAACCGGTCATTGAAATCTTCAACTTGTAGATAGAATAGATAAGCCAATGAGTAGAACAAAACAATATGATTTCAGACACATTTTCACTGAATTTTAACAATGGTACAATGTGTCAACCACTTCAGGCATTTGAGAAGCTACATCACCTCGAACACGCTGGTTGTTGATGAAATCTTAACTCCAATATAGGAGGCTAATTCGACATTTGCCAACTTATGTTATTTGTCTCACCGACTATCTACCAAAATAACGACTAAACTGCACTACGATTGAAGAGCTTCCAATTGCATATGTTTACGTAGTGTTGCTCACATTGGTTGGAATCACTATATAAGCAATGTTGAGATCAAGCGAAGAATACTAGACAAGATAGGCAAGTCGATTGATGAGGTTGTGAACCTTAATCGACTGAAATGGCTTGAACGTTATATACTGAGTATGATGAGGCACCGCCTACCTCGATATGCTATGCATAGTAGAAGATGGATTAGATTAGAAGATATTTTAGGATGGTCAGGCCAAGATGTGGGTGTTACCAGTAGATGAAATCTCTGATTGATGAATGAGTTGTGTTAGGAGATGTTGCCTGCCTGGCTGGTATCTCTGAGACGATAGTAATGAGCAGTTTTAAACTCTTGTTGATATGGCTAAAAATCGGTGACAATGGTGAAGATGTAATAACTCTTTGACATCTCAAGCTTGTTGATTCTTTCACACAACTTTGTCTGCTTCGATATCACTCCCTTTCTATGCACCAGTAACAAGTTGAACTAATCTAGTTGTCTGTGAGGTTCTACGTTGATTGTGTCTCTTTGTTTTACTTTAATACTCTTATAAAACAAAGTATAACTTGTAGAAGATATCAATCTCCTTACTACTAAACGTATTGTACGCATGTAGACTGTTTGTGGTTAGTGTCCAATTAAGAGAAATTCACGAATTTATCAACACAATATATCATGAAAGATTATTATATTTATTTTTCTCTTGGGTTTCCCAATTGGAACATAGGGCTTCAGCAGCATGTCTCCATTGCACTCTGTTCTCTGCAGTATTCTCTTTTAACCTGACTCCATGACTCCCACAAGCTTTCATTCCTTTCTTACATCATCTCCTCCACTTCACATTCGAACGCCCAGTCCATCTTTTCCCCTTCAAATTTCACTCGACGGCCTGACCGTAGGCGTGATGTTCCCAATCGGCCTTCTCAGTCTATATCCAATCCAATCCATCTCCACTTCCTTCTTCTGCATATTTGTTGGGTGATAGGTTCTTGGTTCGTTGCCAGTCCAGTGTCAGTATTGAATGATTGAAGACAGCAGCTGTTGATGATGTATGTCTGCGAGTTGTTGGAAATGCTTTTCTTGGCGTGCTAACTCTCTCAACCATGACATAGAAGTAAGCACTGAGTTGAACTTAAGTGAATGAGTGTTGAAAATTCGGATGTTGTTCACGGTTTATGCTGAGTGTAGTGCAGTGGAGTGCAGTAGATCTCCACACTGATTTCAGATTAATGCAGGGAGGCCTGTCTTGTTGTCTTTCCTATGCTGGCTGCTTTAGCGTCTTCATGTGTGCTTGTTCCGCGTGTAGTTGAAACAATGCTGCCTGAAGAGGTAGATGAAAGAGGCAACTTCTTTTAGATTTCTCCTGTTGATATGGGGATTGGTGCAGGATTGTACGATTTCTTTATTCCTCTTCAACTTATTCATCATTAACATTTTTGAAATAGTTGTGATGGTGTGCACCAGTGTAGAATCTGTTCCTTTGAGATAACATCCAGATTTCTCTAATTAGACTTAAACACTCGACTGTCAGTATTGATATATGTAGTTGTACGCTTTATACAATCGAATTTGTAAATGCCTTTAAAAGGTTGGCAGTCGATATTGTTTACACACATATTTGGTTGTACGATTACTAGGGATTATATATAACAGATAAGATTTCTTATATAGATAATATATGCTATCCATCTGTAATCGGTTGCATGTAAAGCCTTTCTGTTTTCAGTAGTCCTACTCTACTTATATGAAATCTGATTTCATTTAGCTGGAGATAACTGTGTATCCGAATAGATTGTCTTTCTCAGATCTAAGACATCTTGGCATACATGCATTCATCTGATGAAAGTCATTATTGTCTAATCATGTCCTCGATGAATTTATGATATGATTATCATTTTCCCTTTGCGTTCCTAGTGAAACATAGCGCTTCAGTAGCACGCCGACAGGCTTTCATTTCTTCCACATATGATCTCCTCTATGTCACCCTCAGTTGGGATGACCAACTCGTCGATTCGCCTTTGGGTTTCACTCAGTGGGCCTGACTTGGCACATGATGTCCCCAAATGGTCTTTACGGTGGATGCCATATCCATCTCCACTTTCTTCTATTGTATATTTGTTGGGTGATAGATTCTTGATTGGTTCGTTCCCAGAGTAAGCTCTCTGTTGCTTATTCTTTCTGGCCATCCGATCTTCAGTATCAAGTGAGCGTAGGTGGCAGCTGTTGATGTATGTCTGTAGTTTGTTGGTAGTGCTTTTCGTGACACGCCAAGTTTCTAAGCCATAACAGTAGCAATGACTTGAGTGGATTGGTGTTGAAAATCCGGATGTTGTTCACGCTTTGTGCTGAGTGCAGTAAATTTCCACACTGATTTCAGACTAGTGTAGGAAGGCCTATCTCTCTGTCTTCCCGATCCTGGTTTTTAACATCCTCGTCTGTGCCGCCGCTGCCGCCTGTAGTTGAGACGATGCTGGCTATATGAATAGGTGAAAGAGACTACTTTCTTTAGGTTCAGATTTAATATATTTACGTATGCCTAGTCTCCGATCGCCTCGTCATACAATATTGAACGAAGTTCGTTCAGTCTAGAAAAAGACCCAAATCAACCAGTCTAATACATGAAGTCTTTGACTGTTAGTTTTGAGCTATGTGAGGCGATGCAAATTAGGAGGTGGTTGGGATCCACAGGACAAAAGGAACCAGTGAATGGCATGAATCAGAACGGAAATGTATCTTCGTACACATTATCCTCATCTTAACAAACGCTTTATACGGAATCTCATCATTTTCTCATTCTTTCTTTCTCTCTTTTTTATTCCTTGATGTACTGATATGAGGTGTGGCCAATTGGACTGTTACACAATAATTATTATTATTATTATTATTATTATTATTAATTTCAATACATACATATATGTGTATATATTTAGGATATTACTCAACAATATTTTGCTCAAACACGTTTACATTGTGATTTAATTAATCGACGTGATCCTGTAAAATCTTCAAAAGTAATAATACCAATAATAATAATAATAATGATCAAGGTATAGATGATCTGAATTCATCATCAATTAAATGTTCTAATCCAATCAGTTCTCCACAACAATATGATTCAAGTTATACATCTATTTCTTTAAATATTACTAAAGAAGGTAATAACAATGATCATGGAGATCATGTTGATGCTGGTGGTGGTGGTGGTGGTGTTGTTGATAATGATGATGATCATGTTAATCAATCAGTAGAACATCGAATCGATAATATCACTGATATAGAAGATGTTGATAATAATGATGATGATGATTTTGATGAAGAAATTGATGAATATGTGATGATGAAGAAGATGTTGATGATTCACTTGGTGATGAAAATGCTATGCTAAAAGAAGCACATGCTTCAGCACAAGCTTATTGTCGTAATTCAACGAATTCAATATTTCAATCATTAAATACATCTAGTAGTAATACTATTGAATATAAACTTGAAATAATACAACAGACTAATGTAGATAATAATGAAAAGGATATAGATAATGGATTATTAATTCATTCAACTGAAAATACTACTGAAAAGATACTACACAGAAGAAGGATAATAATAATGATAAAAATGATGATAATGATGAGGTTGATAAGGAGCGAAACTTGAAGATAATAAATAAATCTGAAGAAAATCAATTAAATATAAACAAATCAATTATTTCCCTACCTATTGGATCATTATCTAATCAACAATCGGAGAAAGACAAAAGTACACGTAGTTGTTCCCCTCCATCTATTCTAACTATGGTATGTAGTGAATATTTAATATGAATTATTTCAAGTTGTTATTCATCATCGATTGACATCAGTTGGAGAAGTAAAGGAGACCTAGGAGGACTAGACAGCTGTTTTGTCCAACTAGTATAGGACTCCCTTAGCAGTGCGTACCCCGCCAGGGATCGAACCCGCGGCGGGGTTGTGGATGCGCACTGCTCGAGAAACTCCTTTCTGATGAGAACTAACAAGTATATAACTTAGGTTTGACAAAGGATTTTCTTCAGATTTACCTACAACTAGATAATTACTGGAAGTGTATACCAACGTTTGATACTTCCTGGCTGCTTATATCATAAAAGGATAATTCTTCTTAAGGCATCGCATAGTCTATGGGATGTCTGTTTGAAACTTGTCACATACAGCCTTTTGAGGATTATTGTTTTATGACTTAGCTATTCTAACATCAGATAGAAAATCTATACCGCTGACATTGGAAATACTGTTGGAAAGTATGCTATTTTTGATAGATAACTTTATCTAACCCCATTTTTCATTGAGAAGGAAGCATCACCATGGTACTGTTGGTTATCAGCGTTCCAGCTAATTTACCTCGTTCGATCATTGTAATATGTAAGCTCAATCACTACTACATCAATGTAGCAGCTTTCGGTTATCGAACATCAATTAAAGTGCACTACAAGACTGATTCTTCTAATTTAGTGATCACATTGTAAAATGATAGTTTGAACCTCTTTTAATGAACTTGAAAAATGCAATAAGAAAACCATTTACAGAATGAGATAATGTCAAACTCTAAAAAGGTAATAAAAATATTTAAGGAAAGGTGAGAGGGTGGAAAATCACTGATTACTAGTGCAATAAAACTAACCTGTTGGAATCATTGAATGGTAAACGCTTTGACGATTCAAAGTAAGCGTGAAGTCTATGCATAGTATCGTGGACATCTTCAGTAGACGTTTTTACTACCCATATGCAAGTTGTTACTCCAGGACTGGTCTTCAACAATAGGGGATGAATCCGCTGAGTGTGTGTTGATCGATTCACTTATTTGCGAATTCAGACCAGCAGTGGTGAGTCAATGACCGACCAAATCTCCTCATAGATGCAAAAGGCTCGATTGCCTTTCGTCTACTTACTCCACTTTTACCGCCGCCATGATATTCGATCGCCTGTTAAGTGTTAATTGTACTGCGCTGAGGTTCACTCTGTTCTACTTTATGACTGTGAAACATGGCCACTGAAGGTAGAGGATATGACCACCGTTACCTTCGTAGAAAACACTGTATGTTATGGTGTAGAGTTTTCGAGAGGAGAGGAAAGTCAATTGATGAGGTTGCAAACCTTCATCGAATGAGATGGCTAGGGCATATGTGTTACATATGTTTAACCACCATCTGTCTCATCGCGCAATGTTGGCTAAAATAGGTTTGGATTGGAAAAAAGGCTCAGGGTCGTTAGACTAAAATACAGCATTATTGCAGGAAGTCCCTGGCTGCTTGTTTAAGCCATATGGGGAAATGGAAACTTATTGATTGTACTTCTTGTGACAACAAAAAGCAGTGGTTGGAGACTCTAGGCTCAGCTAGCGGGGAAGGAGGTGCCTGACACGATAGGAATCAGTGGTTGAAGAATCTTGATAACATGGCTCAAAATCGACCACATTGGCATAGATGTATTCACTGCTTAAAGTCTTGTAAAGCTGGAATATTTGCACCAACCTATTTCTTCACACAACTTTGTCTAAGTTCTTCCATACTAGATTGCTTTATTCGATGTATAACACAGTGATACAGTATTATTTACTTGATGACATAACAAGGGATAAATTATTATTGCTCATAATCATATCAAAATAATCCTACTAATTTTGACATCCGGTTTTTATAGTCCTATCACACTTTGTTTTTATTAGTAGTAAGATTTTCCGTATCTGTGGTACAGGTGTTGCGTCATTCCTACTACATGTTTGGATGTAGATTGGATGTGCAAAGATTCGGTAATCCATCTACCTACCTACCTACCTACCTACCTACCTACCTACCTACCTACCTACCTACCTACCTACCTACCTACCTACCTACCTACCTACCTACCTACCTACCTACCTACCTACCTACCTACCTACCTACCTACCTACCTACCTACCTACCTACCTACCTACCTACCTACCTACCTACCTACCTACCTACCTACCTACCTACCTACCTACACACCTACACACCTACACACCTACCTACCTACCTACCTAGTTCTATTTGAGTTTCGAACAGTGGCTTAATCGCACCTTATTGTGTGGGATGTATGTTAATGCATGCATAGCAATAGCCGAGTTTTTTCCTGAGTTGTTAATCCTTTTGGAGTGTGTTATTCTATATTTGGTTCGATTCTTACGTTCCCACAATCTAAGTGGTGTGAATCAACTAGTTTGACCTATGACCTTACAGTCATTGCGGGGACTTTGGTGGATTAGATTATTTTACTTAGTTGAATCTATCATATTCTTAAGCTGACAAGGCTTATCTGTGATTGAGTTTGTAGGGTTTAATGTCACCTTAATTCCAGACTTGTTAAGAATCCTACCTGAAGTTTCTGAGGTTCCTTCCTTCTATGGTGACTCAAGAGAGATTTGGGATTCCTTTCTACTCGTCTTGTCGATACTATTCACATTCGTCCTACGGTTATCATTTCGTTTCTTATGTGTTCGTACCAATTTGTTAATAAAGTGTAGAGAATAATTATTAATGATTTTTCTATGTGTTTCAGTTCCTCGTTTATGTTCTTGCACTGCCTAGTGAGTTTTTCAGCTCCATCAATTAGAAATTTGACTAAGCCTGCCTTAAGTGATAGACATTGGATGGGATGACATGAAATCGGGATACTTGATAGAATGTGTCGGTTTCCTGTAGATGGTAGTATGCAAACCACCGTCTCTCCTTCGTTGTATTCTGGAATGTAGTATAGGTGATTCTGCTTGTTCATTTTCTACCTCCTCGTAAGTGGATTGAATTGCGTCTAGTGTTGAGTTTCTATGTGTGATGAAATTGTTGATATGTTACGATTTGAAGAGAGTAAGTGTATGATGCACATATCGTCAGGATATCTTAGATGCAGGACTGAACGTTTGTAATTCCCTCAACTATCCATAAATATATCTTGCTAGGATTTGAGATATTGGTGATGACCATTGCTACTCCTTGTGTTTGTGTATATATTTAGTCGTGAAAATTGAGTGTTGTATCGGTGAGGCACAACTATACACCTAATATGATCTCATCCATGGATATCTTAGTTCTTTGAATAAGTTCTGAGTGAACAATGGCGTGAATTGTGACTGTTTACAGTGCCTTGTTGTTTAGTATCTTGACATAGTGGCTTGTTTCATCGTCTTATATATGTAGGTCACTGTGTGTTAGTTTTAATGCGTAAGAATTAGTTGGTCTGGAATTTGAATGATTTTCAGTAGAATATACTATTTATGCTAAGTACTTCGATAGTTCAAGTTGCACTACATATATTCATCAACAATTGCTTACGCTGGCTTGTTACTGAAGCTCAAATGGTCAGAAGGAATAAGCAACAAGGAACTCTGGCTGGCTGGCAATGAATCAACCAAGAACCTATTAGTCAACAAATTTGCAGAAGGAAATGGAGATGGATTAAGTATACACTGAGAAGGCCGATTGGAGACATCCCGTGCCAGGCCATCGAGTGGATTCCAAAGGGAAAATGATGAGTTGGGCGTCCGAGGCGAGATGATATGAGGAAGAAATGAGAGCTTGTGGGTTGTCATGAAGCCAAGTTGAAAAAATTGGAGAAAAGAGAGTGGAATGGAGACTTGCTACTGATGCCCTATGTTCTACTAGGAATCCAAGGGACAAATAATAATAATAATATAATATGATTATAATGATAATGAGGTGACAGAAGCAGAAAATATGGGTCATTTAAATCCAACCGAGTGTTTAGCTCAGTGTTGATGTACTCACCCCAGAACTTGGAGGTTCTGGCTTCCATCCCTAGCGAAGTTATGGATATGTACAGAGGTAATAGATAGTTGTCCAGTACTCTCAGATTTCTTATATTTCTGATATCATTTAATCCATACTGATTATCAACTTGAAATGTTTATATTTCTAATTTTGTTATTGTATAAATTCTATTTTCTTTTCTTTTTTTTTCTTTTCTTCTTCAATAAAATAGCCTAATCCTGTACGTAAAGTTGTTCGTGTAACTACATTCTGTGATTCCAGACAACAGAGTATTAATTCACCATTATCGAATTCATTTACAACTACTACTAATACTACTACAATTACTACACGTCCTATTAGTTTAAAACAAGCATCATCATCATCATCATTCTCATTGTCAGTAGTATCTATCAGTGGTTCCACTACAATTACAACTATTCCTATTAGTCATACTACTAATTCAAATGAAATTATTCCATTAGATGATTCCACTTCTAATATAACCACACTACCAAGTAATAGTAATAGTAGTAGTAGTAGTAGTGGTAGTAGTAGTAGTTCATCATTATTAGGAGCAACAACAAAAATCACTGTCATATCTGATACATTATATGCTAAACGACCAAAATTATTATAATAATTATAAAAATAACATTGTTATTCCCCTCACTTTTTCTTCAATGGAAATAAATCCAATATTGTATTTTTGAGATGAATAGGAATTTTGTTAATTTACAAGTAGTATTCATTATGGAGTGATATCAGTTGGGAGGGGAGGGGGGCAACTATTGAAAATCTGGGAGCATTGGATAATTGTTTCATCCAACTAGTATGTGATCCCGGCAGGGATCGAACCCGTGCGCGGGGTTGTGGGTGCGCACTGCTGAGGGAGTCACATACTAGTTGGACGAAACAGTTATCCAATGCTCCCAGATTTTCAATAGTTCCCCCCCTCCCCCAACTTATATCAGTCCATGATGAATACTACTTCTAAATCCAGTGTTGTTAATCTATTTGTGTGCATTATATTATATAATTATGTGTGTCTATGTGTGTGATGCTACTTGTTTGTAATGGATCATATTATATTATTATTATTATGATTGTTGTTGTCTTTTTGCACATTTAAATACCTTTACTTTTTGTTTCCTTCCTTTTTTTGCATTTGTAGACTTTAAAAGTGATTTTTTTCCCTGTAATTTGCCTCTTCAATTTGTATATTTTTATTACAAATAATCTTATCAAGTCATATATATATAGTATCCTATTTGATGTATGTTATCAGTATAAATCTGTATGAGAAGTTGAATGTGTACGTGCATGCTTGTGTGTGTGTGCGTGTGTGTGCATATGACCTATCCATGACCTTTCTAATTTATACTTAGTCACTGTTATGTTTACTCTTGAAGTGGATAAATTGACTCATGTTGATCTAGAGTGTTTCTCTCTCTCTCTCTCTCGCTGTTGACCTATATCATATATATATATATATATATATATATATATATATATATATATATATATATATATATATATAAATGTATGATAATCATAGTTGTTCAAATTACTTTTCTTAAAATTGAAACTAAATTCTATGCATTTTTGTGATAGTTTTACGTTTTCAATTTATTTCTGTACATGGATACTTTATCTTGTTAGCGTGTATTGTTACTGTAAACGTTTACTTGTACATGTTTATTTGGATAAATAATGAAATGACTATGGGAGTTTTACTACCATAGATAGATAGATAGATAGATAGATAGATAGATAGATAGATAGATAGATAGATAGATAGATAGATAGATAGATAGATAGATAGATAGATAGATAGATAGATAGATAGATAGATAGATAGATAGATAGATAGATAGATAGATAGATAGATAGATAGATAGATAGATAGATAGATAGATAGATAGATAGATAGATAGATAGATAGATAGATAGATAGATAGATAGATAGATAGATAGATAGATAGATAGATAGATAGATAGATAGATAGATAGATAGATAGATAGATAGATAGATAGATAGATAGATAGATAGATAGATAGATAGATAGATAGATAGATAGATAGATAGATAGATAGATAGATAGATAGATAGATAGATAGATAGATAGATAGATAGATAGATAGATAGATAGATAGATAGATAGATAGATAGATAGATAGATAGATAGATAGATAGATAGATAGATAGATAGATAGATAGATAGATAACACGCATGCTGAGCCACCGTCTACCACGATATGCAATGTTAGGAGGAGTTGGATTAGGTTGTAAGGAGGTTCAAAATGGTCTGATCCGAGTGTGCAGGCGTTGTCTACCTGGCTGGAAATGAGTGTTTAAGGACTTTTCGTGACGTAGATGGAAATTAATCACTCTTACATGTTTCCTTCAATCTTTTTCTATCCAATTGTTTTTATGCAACTGCAAAAGGTTCTGCATTGATTTCGTTATGTTATTGAGATTATTCGGGAAATGAGCATACAAAATCGATTTTGCTCATAGGTTAGCGTCACCTGGAGAACCACCGAAAACTAAAGAGAAGTGAACTGCTATTTCATGTTAATCTGGAGACTTCCAGCAGGTCATATGTATGACTCTGTGTGGGTTCGAACTGAAGACCTTTGAGGTCTTAAGAGATTCATAACCCATACAGTCGAAAATGTAATCCTATCCAGTAGGATATTACCTGGAGTCTAGTATTTTCATTTCTGAAGAAACTATCCGAGATGTCAGTGGTTTGGCAGGATGTAATGATTGTAAGTATCATAGGAACCTGAATACCATCATAATTCAAACCAACAGTTTCCTGATCACTTGTCTAGCGATCTACTGACTAAGATACAAGACGCAGCTAATGGCTATTTCAAATAACCTCAACACGCTACCTTGGCTTGTATAGCGAAGAGACAGACAACCTGACTGATTAACTGGTGTGAATGATAAAATCCTTGGTGATTGAAGTGGAGTCAACATTTGGATCACTATTGATCGATTAATTGACAAATCGGTGATTTGAATTCTCCTGTTATTTTCTATTCTCATCTCATCTTAAAAAGAAATACAATACGATTAACAAGGGAACATAACATCTTGCTTGAATAACAATAGAACATAGTTTACTTAAGAGAATTGTTCAACTCATATCCCGTAAAATGTAGAAAGAATAACAATACATTTTCCTTCTAACTAGTTTATGGATTATAAATTGTATCCTAAACTAGAGGTCATTCATTGATTCTAACTACAATGACAATCAATCTATTCATCACTAATACAGAATACGATCAAATCACTTTGTCTCTGTTTGATTCACAAACTATTTAGCGTAGATGAATAAAACATTTTAGAGTTTTTCATTCGCTTTATGATTACTGTGATTTTCAATTACTGTACTGGATTGAATCGATTAACCTCTATTTGACAGATGAGCTCACCCGTAGATACCTCGATACTGCCTGGATATTCGTTACATATTGTAGTCTTTGGAATTTAGGACTCACATTTTGTCCGATTTGTGATTCATCAACTGGATGTACCTGAGTGATGATGCTGCTACCCAGTCTGGAGCCTAGTACCTATCACTTCAAACGCCAAAGCATCATTCATTGGGGTACTAGAATCACCACTTGTACAATAGATAGTATCGAGACATCTGCCAAGAAAGGTCGAGTAATTCGACCCAGTAAAACAACAAAGAATTACAAGTACTAATAAACAGTAACTGAAATCCATTGCACAAATGATGGCTGTCATACCGTAGTGGACAGCGATTTGGCGTTTAAAGTGATGAATTCAAGTCTCACTCGGAGTTCAAGTACACCCGGATGACGAGTCCCAAATGGGACGAAACGCATGTCTTACATCCTCCTGTTGTGAACCTTGTTAAAAATTAGGCAGAATACCATGAATTTGTAAGATGGCACTATGTAATCTAAGTATATTTCATAATTTTAGTGGGAAGACTACAATGAGAACATCTAATGTAACGTAGATATCACTTGATTGAAAACACTTTAAGATTTACAGAAATGTATTTTTCCTTAGAAATCTTTTTTTTTACTGAAAAACTAGAATTAACTAATGAGATGACAGTCAGAGCGAATGCGTAGTATCATTTTGTTAAAGTCCTATGAAGCACCCAACCCTTAAATACCACGTAAAAAGGAGGGTACACATAGAGGAGTTGCAGTAGTAATGATATAACATACATTAAATGTGTACAAATGAAGATTCGAAATCCAAGATTAACAATAAGATAGTGAATGAGTCAAGGAAACACAGGATTAATGATTACAAATCTTAGTCAAAATCAATGCTAATGTATATCTAATGAGTTGTGGAAAGGGTAGGTTGTTAAAGAGTTACTAGGTTATGTAACTACATGAAAAAATTGGAAAACCGTTGATTAATTAACCGTCAGTAAGCAATTAATGAAGAGATGATGCAATCAAGAAAGGGAAAACTAGAAACATATATATACAAAAAAGCTATATAGAATAACCAGGGCAGAGACACAGGTTAATTACAGTTCCCTTTTCAGCATATAGGTCAGATTGAAAATGTTTAATTGCGAGAGAGAGAGAGAGAGACCCAAATACCTAACTATTGAGAAATAGCCTATTTCCCTTCGTCTAGCATTTAAAGTTGATGATAAACCTGAAAGAATAGACCGTAGAATAAAATCTGCACTGAGTAGGAGCTTCTCTGGTACCAGACTGATCTCAGTTTGCTATGCAGTATACTCAATAACACAGTCGAAAGTAGATAAATACCTATCTGATATCACCTCCAACTACGTATATCAAATCACCAATACTAACAAAAGAAATTTCATAGGAAGTACCAAAAGAAGGGCATATACTCGATTTTATGAACATTTTCTGAGAAATCTTTGTCTGAAAGGTAGCAAAGACTTTACCAGCACAAGTACTTGATGGGAACAAGACAGTAGATGTTCGTCAAACTTTCGGGATAATCAACAAACAAAACACGACATGTTTAATACGGCTTGCAGAAACTTGTCATCAGTCCAATTTCAACCTGACCTGTATACTCACAAGGAGAATGTAATTAAATTTTCTCTACCCTGGTAACTTTATGTAGCTTTTCTGCATATATATGTCTCTAGAATTTCCTTTTAAACCTGGCTTCACGACTGCCCAGAAACCTTCATTTCTTCTTCATACAATCTCCTCCGACTCATCCTTGCCTCAGACTCACAACACGTCGTTTCGCCTTTGGATTCCACTCAATGCTCTGTCTGGCCTGGCGTATGATATCCACAAACGCTCTTCTCACTATATCCTCAATACAATCCATCTCCCCTTTCTTCTGCATATTTGTTAGGCGATCGGTGTTTGGTTGGTTAGTTGCTAGCCAGGCAAGCAGAGTGAGCTCCTTATTGATTATTCTTATTATTCTCTCCATCTGATCTTCAGTGTCAGTATCGAGTGAGTGTAGACAGTTGTTCATACATGTCTGAAGTTTGTTCGAAATGCTTTACATAACGCGACAACTCTCCCAACCATCACATAGAAGCACTGACCTGATTGATTGAAGCAGTCTTGAAAATCGGGATATTGTTCACTCTTTATGATGAGTGGAGTGCAGTAGATCTCCACACTGATTTCCGATGAATGCGAAAAGGCTTGTCTTGCTGTCTTCCCGATCCTGGCTGGCTTTGATGCCCTCATGTGCGCCGCCTGTAATTGAAACGATGCTGCCTAGACTGGCTGGGTAGGTGGAAGAGACAACTTCGTTTAGATTCCTCCCGATCATGATGATTGGTGCTTGTTGTTGATGCTGTTGTTGGTTGGGTATCTTCATCACATCTGTCTTGTCTACGTCCACTTGAAAGAAGTCTCATCTTCGCTGCCTTGCCTCATCTCACCTCTTCTGCCAACTTCTTAGTTTTCGCTTGTACATCTTCGAGTTTGTGCGACATAAGATATTAGACATAAATATGTTGTGACCGAGGGGTAGGGTTACGCGCGTAGGTATCACGATACTGAGACTCAATGGACACAACCGAATACCTTTACGACTACATCCTTCAGTACTTTCTGCTTCACTGAGTCGCGTAAAATCAGAAGACAAAGACGGCTTGTGACTGCAAGAACAGTCACATCCTTTAGTAGGCAAATACATGAGATATATGTATTTACAAAACTCTCAGAAAGTGAAGGCATAAATGAAGCAATCCGATTTCTTGTACGAGGTCGAATTTCTCCAATCCGGTTCTCATGTCAGTGCATGTATAAATCACTACCTGAACATGATCTGATCATGACTTGAGAACAACTCCCTATTGGTTGCCTTTTTATCGCTACGTTTCGTCATCATGAGTGAAATCCAAATCTTCTAGGGTCTTTTCACTTTGTAAGTTTATGGGGAATTATTTGTTGATTTCAAGTTGGTATTTGTCATGGATTTACATTAGTCTGTAGATACACCAAAGATCTGGATCGCTGG